TCTGATGTCACATGGATTTTGATCAAAATATGTCAAAATCGTTATTTATGCACCAAGATCGTTAGGAAAAAGACTAGGGGCTTTATCTCAATGCCCAAGACATGAATTTGATGTATTTTTGGCGACCACGTGGATTTTGATCAAAACATGTCAAAATCGTTATTCTTGCACTGATATCGTTGGGAACAAGATTAAGAGCATTATCTCAATGACTAAGACATGAATTTGATGCATTTTTGTTAATTATTATGTATGATTAAAATAAATTGTCGTTAAAAGTGATTGTAATACTGAGGATCCTTCGATATTTCGTTGTATCGGTTTATTTTTATTGTGTGTCAGTATAGGATGTACTTATTGATACTAAATTAGGTATCAATTTATAGTCCACAAAGTGCAATCATGATCAGAATTTCTGAAAACTCACAGGAGATCTGGGTATATTGATTATGTGCTACAGTTGAGACAATTGAGGGACATTACTTCTCACCAAAACCGTACGTACATATACCTGAACCATGAATCACCATTTCACATTTGCATACATTTATCTAAACTAATGATTAAGCATATTTTATCATATTACCTTTCAAATATTCCACCAATTTCATCATGCAGTCCTACTGTAACTTGTACCATTGAATAAATCGACCAAAACTAATAGTTAATCTTAGAAATAAAAGATGGCACTTTACCGACACAAATCGCATAGTTAAGGGCGCCACGACGTTTTGTGCACAATCTATGTATGGAACAGGTTAATATTAAATTTTTCCAGCAACGTAATGTTAAATAGAATCCTTCACGCATCAATTCAGTCCTACACATCCCACTGAGTAAATTAATACATCCGCGCGCAACTTATAAAATGATAAGCTGTCGAAAGCGACATGGTCCAACCATATATATACTTCTCTTATATATATGGGTCCAACAAGGTAGGTAGGTAGGTACCTCTAACAAACGAATTCAAGGCAGAGTCAGGAAGCTCTTTTTTACTCATTACTGTTAGCTTTATTCATTGGCATTGTAACAAATCCACTCACTATTTAATTACTGCTGTTACGTTTTAGTATACTATATGGGGTATTAATTGATGTTTTTTTTAATAGTAGTTACGCGTAGGGAAATATAGGTATTAGTTCAGAACACATACAATAAGCCATTTACCAACAATACAGCAATGAATTTACTTCCTGGGTCGAACTATGTTCGTATACACTAGCAATTTTGAGATCTACATAATGGGCAAATTGGATAGCGCGGTAAATCTTTTGAATTTTTCAATTTAGACTAGAGCATAGGTTCCCCACTCAGGACTAACTGACATACAATAAGTACATGATTTCATAGAGCTGCTTTGCAATCTATAAATCAACTCCATAACTTGCGATGCGATAATAATAATAAAGAAAGTGTTGAGTTGTAACTGTTATTATACACATAGTACCTACCACGGTCGTATACACCATATATACAGTGAGTTTTTTTTTTAATGCGAACATAGGAGTTTGCATGCAATGTAATTTCGCTATGTTCGATTTAAAAAAAACACATCAATCTGTGAATTTTTTTAAAATGCGAACATAGGAGTTTGCATGCAATGTAAATTCCGCATGTTCGATTTAAAAAAAAACACATCAATCTATTGAGTAGTTCAAATGAGTAGTAGATACAATTGACAGCTGTCACATTTTTAAAAATACCGCCGTCCAATTTAATTACGAAATCGGTTAGGTTATTGCTTAGAATATCAAGGAGGACACTTCGAACATTTATTGTAATTGTTTTCGGTATTTATTTTCTTATTTTCTTCATTTATGTATTGAATAGATCAAATTAGTAGAATACCAGGTGCACATGACCTACAAATAATTGAAGGTTGGTTCACAATGAATTGTGGTGTCAGTGCGTGGCCTGTGAGGTCAAGTTATCGTAAGATTAAAAGCCGCTTTACATTAGGCAATTTTCGTGCAATGCAAGAGCAATGCAAGTTAGAGATACGTTACTGCGCATGTTCATACGCAATTCAGGTGCAAGAAAATAAATAGAGAAAGTTCTATTTCACTTGCAAGTTTGGCGCAAGTTCTAGTAACTTTTCTAGTAATTTTGTCAATACCACAATTTATTTGGTTTCGCGTGTGTTATTTTTAATAACCTAAAAATAATAGCAAGCGCCACCACATAACAAGCTGTAGCCAGCTTAATTTCCTTTTGTTTGCTCATACCTTATGGTCAATTTTATTAAGTTTCAAGAATAACCTTCTGTGTAAACAAACTGAAAAGTTTCAATTTTTGAAAAATATGTTGTCAGTACTGCAACACTTTTCTGAACTTGCACAAAAGTTGCAACACAATTGCATAAATGTAAAACCGTAATAAGCAATGCAAGGCAATTTTAGAATGCATAGCACAAGCCTTGCATTGCACTAAAATTGCCTAATGTAAAGCGGCTTTAAGAAAAATGTATCCTATAGTTGCTATGGCCTCACATGGCTTCTTTAAAAAAATCTTACCGAGATGCTCTTCATCATAAACACTATAGAGTTGCTTTTCATAGTCACCCAAGTTGCGCGATTTGGGAATGTGAACCGCGCACACCTCATAGATTGATGTGTTTTTTTTTAATCGAACATAGGGAAATTACATTGCATGCAAACTCCTATGTTCGCATTTTAAAAAAACTCACTGTATATGGTATACACAGGTCTGGAAACTCTGTTGTTTGAGATGAGGCTCTTAGGCTCGATGCACACTTGCGTGTTTTCAAGTCGCGTGCAAGCTGCGAGCAAGTCGCATGCGCTTAGCTTGTTTCTGTCATTACACATTGGAGCGGTTTTGAACCGCCGAACGCTGCGACGCTGCTAATACCTATATAAAGACGCATTCCCCAAGTTCTTTCCAAGCAAAATGGATGACTATCAACGCGTTACGTTTGCTTTCTCAGTGTATGAATATTTATATGACAATAAAGAACAACACGGGTTCACCACATGGTTAGTGCTCGTTCGTTTCCCTATTTCAAGATCTTCTCAGAGACGAAACGAAATTCTTGTCTTTATTCTATCATGGAACGGTCCTGATCTTGTGTCCGATATTTGTTGGTTGGTTCTTAATAACATCGCAGGTAAATAACTATGTGTCGACTAAGTCGACGTTGACTTCCATCGTGCGATCAGTGTGTACTCGTTGATTGCCTAGCACAGGCACAGACTGCTCGGCGTGTTGTGGAAACCGTGTTATGCGGCGGCGTAGTAGAAACTGGCGTCCTCCAAAAACAAGTCTAGTGCACGCTACTTGCAAGCAGCTTGCCCGCCGCGGTTCTGCTCGAGTGTGTACTGCGCAACTAGAGCCCATGCACTGCTAAACCGCCGGCGTTCGCACGCGGCTTAAAAACACGCAAATGTGCATCGAGCCTTACGTGTCGTCAAATTCGTAATCCTTCGCTTAGCTGCTAGATGGCGTGTCTAGGGATGTTGTTATGATTATTTTGAAGCGCTTATACCGGTATATTATGGTTACTCTTTGGTATAAGTATGCATAAAACATACGTCCCATTGGCACAGATGGTATATAACCGCGATAACCCAGGTTCAAATCCAAGCGTGTATACTTTTTTTTTCTATAGGTAGGTACTTCATTAAATTTATGCGACTTTTTGCATTATTTGAATTAAGAGGAATGATAATAACAGTTAGGTACCTATAATGTCACAATGGAAAAGATACTACGGGAGACTTAATTGAATACGGTAGATAGGATAGGTACATTCAATTGAGAAAATTTGCCCCGAATTATTCTCTAGTCTCTTTTATCCGATTCAAAATGCGCCGTTAAAACAACGTGCGCGATCAGCGGCAGTTTTTACGCATTTTACTAAACGGGAATTTCTTATGCTTACTTATGATTTGTCGCTGTTGTCCACTCAACGTTAAAACAACTTTTCAGAATCGCATTCATCGCAAGCATCCACTTTTCACGCATTTCCACATCTTTAGGCACTTTAAAAACAAAAGTTTTGTTTAACACTTTTGTACCGCCGTTTTAAATTTTGGCACAATGCACGGTTTCCTCATTTTTCTCAAAGCAGCGGTTTTATTTTTGCATAGTCGTAGAGATTCAAGGCGGCGGCGACAGGAAAAGTAAAAACTGCTCTAACGATAATGTCAAATTTTGGGGCCTACTACTCAGTCGAACAATGGCCTAATATTTTGAAGTTTGAAAAAAAAATTTATTATTCATGTCTAATGGTCGTTTGCACTCAATTTGTCTCAATAATCGTTGTCATGGATTTTAACATACGCTTAAGCTAAGCGCCGCTTAAATTTGTCGGTGCAAACGGCCATAAATAGCAGAACATGATGAAAAGTGTTCTTACTTTTGTGCGTTTTTCAGAGTACTCTTGCTATAAAATGGTAATTTTACTTTCAAGTACTCAGATCATGTTGTAACATATCCTTTGAAGTAAATTTTTAAATTATTTTTACTTTGCATACATTTAAACATTAATAATTATTGAAAAGAGAACTTTGTCATATTTCCTGCAAACGCTCTCAGTTTGCATTACAACAGAATCAACATCATTTGAAGGTGAAGTTAAAAGTACACCAGTTTCATCTCAAAGAGAAGGCAAGTATACTTCTTGATGTGTTCACTATAGGTAGTTGTCAATAAAACTGCTACAAAAACATTTATTACATTTATTTTTTGAGAACGCATTCCTACTAAGTATTTAAAATATCAAATGTCGTTTACGATTTGACAAAACTGGGAAGTTGGAGCTGCATCTTTACATTGTACTTATCGAAGTAGGTGTACATATTTTGTCTTGGGAAAATTCTAATTCAGCCTACCATCAACGTATTTTTTGTTTCTTTGTTAATTAAATTTTTATCTTTAAGATGACTAAGCAAATTTTTGTAATGATCTAACAGTATACTGAGTCGATTATTTGTTTGCTTTAGTATTTTTATCTCATTTTTTCTGTTCTTTTATTTTTGATATATTTCTTCATCTTGGAGATTGTAAATGTTCTTGTTTAACATCTCCAATATAACGAGGATTCCAAAGTCTCATTGTGTGGGTTTTTGTAGACTGAGGCCTAGTAAATCAATTCCTAAAACATTAATTATTATTAAGTATAAGAAATAAACATAGGGTCAATCCATTCCCAGCAGTCCAGAAAAAAATCGATTGGCAAAAGTTTGACATCGCTATCTCTGTTCGATCTCGAGTTAGACGAGAAACAGAGGGACAAAACCATTACATAAGGGGAATTTTTTTCTTTCGAAAAATTCCCCTAAAAATGACCGCCATTTCTAAACGGTAAGCAATAAAAAATTTAAAAATATACTTGGGATGCAATGCATGAAGGAGTTCAATCACTAAATATCAAAATTTTCTGAGATGGTCAAGCAACCAGTGCTGCACCACTTGTATGGATTGACCCATTAAAATTCAGGTATAAGTGATTTGTGTAGGTGATACCAAGGTTAATTTACAGATGGGGCAATTTATCAAATGGATTAATTTTCTTAATATTATACTGCGGCCAGGTGTTGTATCAAGATTCATTCTATTAATTATATACCCAATATTCATATGCAACTGCAATAATTAACCTCGGTCTACCCTACAAAGTACGTACATTTACCTTCTGGTAGCTTTCGTTATGCAGTTCTCTTTGTAGACGAATGAAATGAATTCCATTTATAATTTAAGTGTGATGCCCAGACCTGTAAGAGACTTCTTGTGCTGCATTGTCCTCTTCATCAAACTTAGATATCTTCAAAGTGCTTTGATCATTGATCATTTCAGAAGAATCCACTGAGCAATCCCTATAACAATAAATAAATTCATAACCAAATAATTATAATTTACCTCGTAATTTACTATAACTTACTGTTTTATAATGTCTTTATGATCGTTTGCAGTGCCATCCACAGCAAATTCTGTAAATGTTTCATATTTTAATACATCTCCCACACAATTGAGCAGTAAATTACAATTACTCTGCTCAGCTGCGTTTTCAGTAATAATTGTAGGTTTTTGCTGTATTGTTTGATTAAAAGTAAGCTGTTGTATGGAGTTAAACATTTTATGCCTACAAAACAAAAGAGATCAGTGCATGTTTAAAAGCAATTTATACTTACGCTTTAACTACCCTACGAAGATTTTGTGTTGGTACAGCAGTTCGAGTTAATGTTCTTCTATCTATTATTCTATCTACTTGATAGTCGTTAACTGTAAAGTGTTTCGAGCAAACTTTTGCATATGTACTAGTATTATCTGGTAACCTAAAAGCTTCCAACCAAAGTTTCCTACGATTTGAATCCTTCGGAAAACTGGAACAAAAGCAAAGCGTTTGTGATGTGAATATTTGGTGTAATTTTAATTTTGCAGTACTCTGTATAGTGGATTCATTTTGTTCACATTTAAAGGGATGCACACTATTTTATATTATATTTATTATTCAATGCTAGTATATAATCAAGAGTGTTTATGCAGCAACTAAAATACGTTATTAGGTACTATAACTTAGAAATTACGAAGGAGATATTTTGTAACTTACCCATGGAATGAAATTGCACTTTCAGTACTACTACGTTCACCACAAATTAAACATAGCATTTTAAACTTTCGGAAAAACTACACGTCTTATATTTTCTACTCCAAAATAACGAAAATATACAACAAATTACAAAACCTTGATCATAACAAAACACGGTAAAACGAACGGAAATGTCCGAAATAACACGAAACACGACAAATTTGCATGTACAGTCATTGACAAAAGTAATGATCGCCGAAAGAGTAAGGTCTATATGAGAGCAAAGGGTATACAAGGAAACCAGCGAAAATCATACGTATATTATATTAGCGTGCCGGTATGCGTTCCCCGTTCTCTGCGTTAGTTCGTCGGGGAACGCCTAGCTACGAAATGAGTTTAATTTAAATTTTCCACCACGTTTTAAGACATAAATACAATTTAACCGGAATATAGTTAAACAGACAACTAGGTACTTTCATCATACTGTAATGGTCAACTACAAGTGTTCAACGTGAAATATGAATGTGTAGATAATCACTTGGAAGAAAAACAGAAGGCACAGCGAAGGCACAGCTTACTTAAGTAAGCTGTGCAGAAGGTGCAAACTTTAGACAATTAGGTTTTAATTTTTATGTTATGAAATTGAAATCATAACTGCATTATATTTTGAAAATTAATTTTCGACATTTCTTGAGTTAATTACCTAAGTAATACTGGCGGACGCGACCGACATTGTTCTCCCTGCGAAAATCTATAAAGTATAAAATAATAAAAAAAACTTTATCGGGGAGTTCAGAGTTCAGTGACACACACATACAGATGTAATAAGTATTTTTCATACAAACTTTCACACCTCTTTATACATCTTTTAAAATTTAAGGGATGAAATTTAAAAATTCCTTGACACGTGTTATTTTTTTTATATTTAGACACTAAATAGATACCTAAAGTGAGAAAGTTACCAAACATCCCATTTCGAAGGGACAGTCCCGTTTTCGTGATATATACGAGGGTGAGGCAGAGGAACTTGCTGATTTATTGTATTCGGCGCCCTTGGGCGACGGTTGCNCCTAAGTGGGCGTTCACAACGGCGCACCGCACATCGCACTGCACTTAGCATCGTACATAGCATCGACCGGTCGAGGCGAATAAAAGCATACATTTAAATGCACATGTTCATAACGAAGCATCGCACATCGCACGCCCAATGTTGGAGGCGATGGTACCATGCTATGTTAAATGAGCTTAGTATTTTGCATAGCATCGTATGGGTTGCACGAATATGATGGACAAGGAAAAGTTAATAACTTTAGTATTCTCAAGAGAGGGTATATGGAATAAGCGTCATAAACATCATCATAATAGCTTTATGGGATGAACAGTATCCTTTCTCACATTTTCAATGTACCACAAGTGCAATGGATTATTCAGAAGAATTAATTCTTCATCTGAAGAAGATTCGGTATAATTCGCCATGATACACGCGAGACGTTTCGAGCAAAACTATCGAGGCGATGCTCCAAACTTCTTTGCAGTGCCCCAACGTGAACATATCCATACCATGCTAAGTGCGATGCTATGTGCGATGCTAAGTGCAGTGCGATGTGCGGTGCGCCGTTGTGAACGCGCACTGTAATACTGGCGGACGCGACCGACATTGTTCTCCCTGCGAAAATCTATAAAGTATAAAATAATAAAAAAAACTTTATCGGGGAGTTCAGAGTTCAGTGACACACACATACAGATGTAATAAGTATTTTTCATACAAACTTTCACACCTCTTTATACATCTTTTAAAATTTAAGGGATGAAATTTAAAAATTCCTTGACACGTGTTATTTTTTTTATATTTAGACACTAAATAGATACCTAAAGTGAGAAAGTTACCAAACATCCCATTTCGAAGGGACAGTCCCGTTTTCGTGATATATACGAGGGTGAGGCAGAGGAACTTGCTGATTTATTGTATTCGGCGCCCTTGGGCGACGGTTGCTCCGACGAAAGTGGGAATAGGTATATTTGAGAGAAGGGCATATAAATTTTTTCCGCCGCGTAGTGTAGTCACCATCAGGGGGTGGACGAAGGCGGAACGCCCGTTCGCTGTCGAGGCATACTTTTTTAACGGTCGCTCAGTCATAGCCACGCAACGTGCATTCCGTACTCATTTTAATTTTTTTTCTTCACATCACCAGTTTCCCTAAAATTGTTTTTTCACTACTAGCGTCTGATGACATGATTATTAACCTTTTTTCCACTTGTAAAGTAGCCTTTCTCGGCATTTGTTCAAAGTGGTTAATAATGTGGACATTATTAACTAGTAGTCAATAATGAGAACTGTCACGCTGTCACTTTTAGAAAACACAACCCGAAATTTCGCTCGATAAACGGTTAGGCAAGTTCTCTAAAATGAATAATTGCCACCATCCGCCATTTCCAGAGAAATTACATACCTAAAATCATCACATTTTGAAAAAATTCGAACGAAATTACTCTTTGAAAATATCTCAATGACAGAACAAAATACGGCCTGTTTGAATTGTACTTCTACGTACTTGATTGACATGTTAAATTAATAAACAAAAAATTCTGTCCAACCGTTCACTTTCTTATCAGTATAATATGTTAATTTAGAGGACTTCAAGTGCTAGTAGTGAAATAAATAGTATATATATACCACGGTAGAGAAGTCTATTATTGCTTTCGCACCTTACACCCCTCGGCGCAAGCGCCTCGAGATGTAATCTTGCTGCTCAGGCAATAATACTGTACTTCTCTACCTTGATATATAATGTACTACTATTACCCATGAAACAATGGATTGTCGGCCAGGAACACGTCCACGTGGCGCGATATTAAAATGAGTACGGAATGCACGTTGCGTGGCTATGGCTGAGCGACCGTTAGAAAAGTATGCATCGACGGCGAACGGGCGTTCCGCCTTCGTCACCTAATGGTGACTACACTACGCGGCGGAAAAACTTTATATGCCCTTCTCTCAAATATACCTATTCCCACTTTCGTCGGAGCAACCGTCGCCTAAGGGCGCCGAATACAAATCAGTTCCTCTGCCCCACCCTGTACAATGCGATCAAAAATAAGTTATACTATCGAGTCACATTTGAAATTTTTGTTTACATGGGAAAGCGTCTTAGACTCTTTATTTCTTACTCTGAGTCTCAGACCACATAGTACATGGACTGCTAATTGTAACTAAAATATGGTCAAGGACATTGGCCCGTATGAATAAAAATAAGCAAATGCTTATACAATTCAAAGTAAATACTCGTAAGTGCCCCTTTATACTGGTTTGTTTAGCAGCGCTGCACTACGTCCTGTCCTTCTGCTTAGCAGCGCTGCTAAATCGCCCAGTACGAAGGAGCACTTACGAGTATTTACTTTGAATTTTGCAAGTATAAGCATTTGCTTATTTTTATTCATATACGGGCCATTGTCTGCGTATGTGAGTTCAGAGCATACTTCTCTTATATGTATGGTTCAGGGTAAACGAATTTGTCCGAAATTGTCCGATGAGACCCGATTTGAGACTGTCAACCTATAAATTAACAAACGTCAATTAATTAATCGACTAAATATGGCAAAAATAACAAACTTATTCTTATTTGTGGGCGTATAGAAGATAATGAAGAGCATTTAAAGCTCCCCGTACTACGCGGTTACCATAAAAGCTACTCTTTACTTACGCGATCCGATTGGTGTTCATACGACTTTAGTTTACCCTGAGATTCACATACCCACGACTACAGTGACCACCCATTTTGTATTGAAAGCATAGGGCTAATATGTAGCAGTCCATGTACTATATGGTCTAAGGAAAGCGTTTAACTTGAACTACCAAAGGCGACTCGATTGCCACTTATTTTTGATCGCCCGTTCCTAGTTCCGTGCTCCATCAAACATCTTTATAAAACATTAGTTTCTGTAAAAAATACATGTGACAATGGATTTCAAAAGTTTTGCAACACATGAACCAGAGGCTTCAAAAGTTCAAACCACGAGTCTACAAAATTGAGTCTTTTACTTTTAACCCATGGGGGGTGCTTTTTTTTGCACTTTCACTTTCAAAAAGTGTTCACGAAGGCTGTGGAACTACAGACTTGGTATTATGGTGTCAACTGTCATTCGATCCGAAACTAAAAATTATTTCATGTTTATCTGGGCGCCATCCCCAAGCGTGGCGGGCGAAGTAACATGGTGATTTTTTAGTTTCGTTTCCTATCTTCTTCTACAATTTTGGTCCGATTGTTCTCTAATTTATTTAGACTGAAGCGTTTCAAATTCGGCCTAAAAACACAACTTTTCAATAATTTATTTTGGGTTTATTTTACTCGCAAATAAAAATTGAGGATACACTCGTCTTTTTATTTTTAATGTACTTTGTAGATCAGAAATAAAAAATGAAGCCGGGATGCCCCCAGTTTGATTGAATTACTCTTTTGCACCAACATATAGACTAGGATATATAATCATATTTTATTGCTTATTTTGTACATACTCTGAGCCATTTCAGAGTCACTTGTGCATTTAAATACGTAATTAATTGAAAAAACATTACAACACATATAGACATACATATTCTAGCATGATACATAGGAGTAAATAAATGTAAAATCTTTACCTTAAAAAAATGTGCACTTCAAAAAATAATTACAAACTTAAGTATAAATCACAGATAAAAAAAGTGTTACTGGTTATGCTAGATACTTACAATTCCTGTATATCAGCCTTGTAATAAATACAAGATACAAATTAAAAGATTTAATTGTAAAAAAGTATGAAACTAAAGCTGCCAAGATGAAACTTATTCCAAAGAATTTGAATGTACAGTACTCTCTCCAGTTAAAGTATCAGTCAAATAAGTGATTTTCAGAGTTTTAGCAAAGTATTGTTTGTCGATGGGATGATTAACCGTCCATGCCATCACTCGTACTCCCTTAGCCTGCCAATCAGCCACCACCTTTCTATAAGAGTTTTAAATGTTAATCAGTTGTATACTATACAAAAGGCAAGGTACGACTTACGGACTAATTACATCTTTGTGCAATAATACCATGGATAATCCTAAGATGTTGTATGTTAGCCGAGGTAAAAGCCATTCGTGAAGATTATCACATAAGCAAAGAAATAGATGTTTTAAAATGTTGGTAGATCTTCTTTCTCCTGGTCCAGTCATAGCATTATACGATACATTTGCGAAAGAGTAAGGGCGCCAAGCTAAAGAACACACAATTTTAGGGTTGCTTCTTCTTATCTGCAATTTCAAAAATATACACTTAATTACTACAAATAATATTGGTGGCTATATTAAATAAAAGCAAGAATCGGGACAAAATCTGTACCTACACCCCTATCAGGCATGTAAGACTAATTTGAATATAACGAGGGGTAAACCACTTCGCGAAATCGTGTCACAAATTTCAATAAAACATGCGAAATGGCGAAATCTTTGTAAAAACTCTGGAAATCACGTTAAAACTTGCGAAATCGTTACATTTCTGAGAACTTTATTGCGATTGCGCCTACAGTGGAGGGTGTTTCTTTGATTATCGTCGATGAGCAAAAGGTATTTGAAATCTATTGCAGGTTCTAGCACTCGCCGATTATTTCGCGAAATTCCTAGGACATCTTCCTAATCTTTTAAAAGCTGCGAAATCCCTAACTATTTCGCGAAATCTGCAACTATTTCGCGAAATCCCTTACAATTTCACGAAATCTCTTGGAAATGCGCGAAATCCCTTATGTACAATTGCGCGAAATCCTTGCGAAATCGCATCAATTGCGCGCAATACTGTCACAATTCTTAATAGTAGTTAACCCCTCGGAATATAAGTATGTTCATTTCCCTGCAACGCTTGCCCCCTTGCTATGATTTCATATTTTGAGGTCTCTCACTTGAAATTGCATATTTATTTTTTTCTTAAGGAACATTTGGTTTTGGTTATCGTAGGGAAATTGTAGATGGTAAGAAGTAAAATTATTGAAATAATGTTCAAAGATAACAATGTAATTTAATTAAATCGTATATATGGGCACAGACAACATAGTATACAATTATCCACACCACGGTCACAGTATCAGCTGTGGTTCAATGGCCCGTATGAATAAAAGTAAGCAAATGTTTATACTTGCAAAATTCAAAGTAAATACTCGTAACTGCCCCTTCATACTGGTCTGTTTAGCATGGTTTAGCAGCGCTGCACTGTGTCCTGTCCTTCTGTTTAGAAGCGCTGCTAAGTCGCCCAGTGCGAAGGAGCACTTACGAGTATTTACTTTGAATTTTGCAAGTATAAGCATTTGCTTACTTTTATTCATACGGGCCAATGAATAAGAGAAATAGAAAATCAGTACCTAATAAATTATAACACAACAAAGAAAGAATCATGAACTTATATAGGTCACCACTATGTCACCCCTTTAATTAGTTACTTATTTACAATACAACTTCAGCAAAAATTTATATCAGGTTCCTGCAATCGCATATACATGAGTAGCACAATGCAATAATTTATTTCATCTAGGTAGTGGTTCTCAACCAGCGCAGCGTCCCGCGGAACATTGGTGCTCCGCGAATGCCTATCAAATGTTCCGAGAAATATAATTATGTAATACGTTACCTCTTAATCAGAATTTTGGATTTCTGTACAAGAAGAATATCCACTTCTTTTCAACATAGCTATAAATATTTTAATACAATTTTCAACATCGTGTTTATGCGAATTAGGTTTCTCCTCTCTAACAAACATTAAAAATAAGAAAAGGGAGAGACTACTAAATTTAGAAGAAGAAATGAGAGTCGCTCTTTTTCACATTAGGCCTGATATTGACAAAATATGCCAACAACATCAGGCACAAGCCTCCCACTAATAAACTTTGTTTCTTGTGTTACTTTTGGTTTTATATATTTTTAAGTTTCAGTTTGAAAAAAAATATGTTTTGTTAGTGACTTAAAATAAAACTTACTTCTTGATCAATTTTCGTTTGTGTTAACAACTCGAATTTGATTGAAATATAGAAAAACACAGATTTACTATCGTCATTTTATCTTCAAAGACTTTAAACCTTAAAATTAACTATTTCCAGTGTTCCAGTGGTCCAGACCTAAGGTCACGTGACTTTTTCGAGCGCTCCGGCCGGTAAGTATCGTAGGCCTCGGTAGAGGCCATGTAAGAGTATTAATCGAATTCTTATATAGAAGTTTCATTACTTACTAAACATTATAGTTGTACCGTGTGTTGCCTACAGGCAAGTTACAAAAGCTCTATGCATTGAGCAAAACAGTGGGTAGATATAGCATTTCTCACAAATAAATTACATTATAATTTAAAAAAACTACTTACATAGTAAATAATATTGGGGTAAAAAGATGTAACTACAGCCATCGAGTGTAAGGAAGGATATTTCTCGTATAGATCCAGTATTATGTCAATTATCTAAAATGAAACCATTTCAATATTAATAGCTTTGTGTGTACAGTTGAGGTCATGATGTAATTAAACTGACACAATTAGCATAGTAGCCACATTAAATAATATGCTTAAATTAACTCTTAATTTGACTTTTTTGAGCACAGGAAGTTTAAATTTAGGTACATGCATGCAAATGCAGGATTCCTCATTTTAAGGTACCTATTAAGAATGCTCGCTTCCAGATTACTATTTGATTATGTAATTTAAACATATTTTAAAATGCAATTGTAGTTATCATTTAAAAATAGAATTGGTATCTCATATGATTTTTTTCTTCAGAGTTCTTCCCACAGTCTATACCTTGCCATTTTGTGTCTTGATATCTATAAACATCCGCTGTTCTGCTTTCAATAATTGCTGAACAGTTTCATCCAAAGTGGGTATCCGCGTATTGATAAATCGTTCTCTGAAAGTAGTGTAGTTTACATAAATAAAAAAATCACTCAGCTCACCGATATGGATGTCGAACCGAAATATCAATTTTCTGCAGGTCTTCCCAAAGGGTTTTTGACAAAACTTTTTCGGAATCAGCCACTCTATCCAAAGTTTTATCGTGAAACACGACAGGTACATTATCGGCAGTAAGCGTTACATCAAATTCGATTATGTTACAACCCTTTTTGCTACACTAAACAAAACATAATTTCCGTTGTTTAATTTTGTACTCTCACCAAGTCAAATGCAACTAAGCTATTTTCCGGTGCATCCAAGCCAGCTCCGCGATGGGCGACTGTTTTCATGTAATACTCTGTGGGATTTTCACTTTCCTCTGTCAAAGGGAGTCCAATAAGTTTTTTAACAGTGTCTTCATCAGGCGGAGGAACCTTTACGGCATACAACCCAAAAGTAAAAATGAAAATTAATATAATCCCAATTGGTATAATTGTTTGAATCATTTCAAAAGCAATGTGACATGATCCATATATGTAAATAAAAATTAAACCACAATTTTTTAATATTCCACATAAACCGGTATTGCACATAATTGTAGGTAATTAACACCACAAAATTAAATATTATATTTGTGCTGTGTGGGAAAATACCCAACACAAACAGACTGATTTCAAAAGCAAATAAACATATCTAACCGCGACTCAGAGTGTGATACGCAGACGTCGAATTTCATTCCAGCAGCAACAAAGCTCAAGTCAAACGTTGCATAGGGTAGGTAGGCATGACCGCATGATATATAAAGCCCAGTAACCATGGGGTGCGGACGTGCGGTTGTTATACAGGTACCGGAGTGGGCTTATTTATGGGGTAGGTATCGTTTCTGTATCTACAGGTATTTCGAGGTCCACGAATTCGATTTTGGTACCTAGTTTTAAAAATACAATATCTGAAATGCGGAATTAAAATGATTAAAGAATCAATATAAGACAGATTTTCGGTTCAAGATAAAGCCTTTTGTTTTCCTATTTCGAGATTGTCATAGAATTCAAGTGTTGTGTTAGACAAGTTATGAGTTGCCTTAATATTTGCGTTATTGTTAGGTTTTTTCCCGTTGACCTGGGCAAGCGATTCCGGGATAAGTGGTATCACATTGGTGAAATTTCAAAGTAGGCAACAACGTCAAAAGCAGACATTGCTGCATGTTTGCTGCGCTTACAGTACACGCGGCCTTTGAATATAAAATTTTATAAACTTCAGATTCTTCATGTTTTTCGAATTCTTTGGATATTTTAGATTTTTCCGATCTTTATATGATCTTCCCTTTCATCAAATTCTTCCGATGCTTACATTTTTTCGGATTGTTCATTCATCCGTTTCTCTACCATACTAAGGTTCAGATCTTTCAAATCTATAAGTTCCTTCTTCAAATTCTTTAAGTTTGTTCATTGAATAAGTAATCATTTAGGTACTTATTCAATGGGTTGTTTCAATACTTCAAATTATTTAATGATTGTCCTCGTGATTGTCCAATAATTTGAATTCTGGAAATTAATTCGTCCGTTTCATTGATCCGTTAAATAAATATATATACGTAAAATTTTTTAGACACTCGGTATATTTTTCAAATCTATCCAATTCTTCAAATTCCAAAAGCCAAGAGATTCTTTTGTTTCTTACAATCATCTGGATCTTCCGGACTTTCTAGACCTCGGGCTCGTTTTGTCCCACGTATGGAGACAACCGCGATTTATGTGCACTAGAACTGTTTCTTGCGTATGATAGTTTTCGTACTCGATATAGTTATTAAGTCGCTTATTCTCTTCACAACTGTATTAATTGGTCCTACCCAAGTTGTTTTTTAACCGAATTTTTCCTGGAGTATGGACTTTTTTTCTCTATGCTTGAAAAATTAAAATCGTCGCACCTCTAGTTGATTCAGCTATCATGCTCGCAAATAAAGAGAATGGTATAACGACAAAGACGAGGATAATGAAGAATGGAGTCGAGTCATATCGATATATCGATATTATCGATATTTTCCTAATATATATATGACGATATGGCAAAACATCGACGATCGATATATCGAATATCGATATATCGACATATCGAATATCGATATAATATCGAATATGGAATATCGTTCGTCAATATCGACATCGAAATATCGAATAGCGATGTGTAGAACTTCGATATGCTGATGTTGCATAATAAATATCGAGTACCGATATACGTTATCGTTCACACGGACAGATAGATAGACAGACAGACAAAGGAACAGACGGACACACCAACAGACGGACGACAGACAGCAATACAAAATTATAAACGATCTCTAAGATCGGCAAAAGTGTAAAATTATGGAACATGTAAAAAACGATTTTTTGGTTTTTTTGCAATAACTTTTTTACCAATAAACGCAGAAAAGCAAGCCTCGACACCATAACGAACCAAATAGCGAAAAAAGTAGAACAATAGCTCTTAAGATAAAGAACTAGTAGCGTCTCAACGGACTAGCGGACGGACGGACGAACGGACAAACGGACAAAGTGGCCACAATAGCGCATCTTTTTTTATTTTTTTGGAAATGCGCTAAAAAGTTGGCACTGCGCATGCGCAAAAACAAATTTTGAAACTGGCGTTTGATTTTCCTTTATTCCACGGGCCTATGTATCAAATTTCTTTTAAAAGCTTCCATAAATACAAAAGTTGGCACTGCGCATGCGCAAAAACAAATTTTGAAACTGCCTTTAGATTTTCATTTATTCCAAGTGTCGATGTATCAAATTTCATTTAAATAATTAATAAATAGTTTGCAATTCGCTTTATAAATGGTCGAGATGCGAAAAGGGCACTGTGAATTTTGAATCGATTTGACTCAACTTTTGGCATTCCGTGTTATATGGCACAAGCTATGCCCATATTGAATTTCATGCAATTAATATAATAATAATAATAATCTAATAAACGGAGATATAAAAGCGATCGGACATTTCTAAACAAAGTTATCGTTTACACGGACAGATAGATGGACAGACAGACAAAGGAATTTTTATGTCATCCTATGGATATTTTAATTATCTATCCGAGGATGTTTTTATTTTTCCTGTAGGATGAAATGGGGAGCAGGAATTGCCGAAAATGTATTTCCCATCCCATGTTATTTCCCTATGTCCCGCAGTTGCCACACTGTATATAAGAGTGGCCCGGCTGAACGCGCCCATTGCTATACTTTTGTCTTTTTTTATGACAATTTCGAAAATATCAAAATAATGAAAGATTGTTCCGATCTGTTAAGTTTAGCCCAAGAAAAAGTGCAATTTGGGCAATCATTACTCAATTCTCTTACGCAATACAATCAAATCGAAGGAATACAAAAATTGAGCAGAAAGATAAAGCAAGAGCTAAGCTTTTTGGAAAAGGTTAGTAATTTTTTGCTTTGCTTTCTCAAGAGAAAACTAATTGTTTAGATTTCTAGGGATGAGAGTATTAAAAAAGAGCATTTGCAATGTTCCAATTTGACCCATTTCAATGCATTAATCCAAACCTTACGCGAATTACAAAACTGTCAAAGTGTCAATAAAGTGTTTAACTTGGGCGATAAGAAGATCAGCGTTGATATTATATGTGATGAAGGTTTAACATGGGTGAAAGTCATCGCTCGCAATCCGAAATCGCTAGCACAGATCAGTGCTGGTGATACTGGTTATGGTGTACGTAGTATTGTAGATCAAGCTGAAGATTATTTAGAATGTGCAAAACAACATCCATGTCTGTTTCGGACACCAAAGGTAACTTGTGTAGCTTATTAGTAGCACTTGTTTATCAATGTATATTTTAGATAATGTTTGTATTTTTCTCTGGAATTTCCAATGACTTGTCTGAAACATTAGAAGAACTTGGAATTGTAGTGAGGAGAACTAGAATAGAACACCATGTGGAAAATGGTTACAGTGCGGACAGTTCTGATCTATCAACCAAGAATGTGTCTCACATACTAAAGATAAACTTGGATGTGTCTGCAATGTTGGCATATGTTAGTTCCATTACGAATGGAAGTTGCAATAGGTATAAATTTACAACACCAGTTCTTATTCAACAAGCAGAATGGGAATCGAGAAGACCAGTGAAGCCCATTCTTGACGCTTACTTTCAAGGTAATTTCAGTAGTAACGACTCTTACCTTGATTAAGAACTTTCTTGCTTCTTTCACAATTAACTTATTGTACTGACGTATTGTGAAGATTCTAGCCATTTGAAAACCAACAATTCTGTTTAGCATCACTTAGCAGTAATTTTCATCACATCAATTAGACAATGCATACTACAACACTATTTGTTAAGTTGTAAACATGGAAACCTAATCCAGTAGGTATAGGTACACTTATGCCATCTTCATACTGTATGAGTGAATAATGTGCAATTATCACATGCAATAAACTTTTAGAAATCCAAAAACCTTCAGTTAAGGTTGGACTTTTTAAATTTACTTATTGCAACTACAGGCATCCTATTTTTTATGGGCGATATAATGGATTTTTACAGAGTGCGATAAAGGACAAAAAGAGAAATTCAATTGAATGCATCGCCATCATAGCCATGTTGATTCCGTAAGATCTAGTCACCCATGAATGTTTTGTTGAGAAACTTATGTAAAAATATAACCTATGACACATCGTTATTTTTGTTCTTTTGTCCTCTTATCTCATTCCGTAAAAATCCATTATGGCGCCCATAAGAAATAAGAAAGATTAGTAGCGTGGATGAACTATGAAACAGATTCACATGCTCCGAAAAAAGTGCCCTGCTAACGGGAGACGTCCATTTCTGACCAGTTAAGCTAGGGAAAATGAAAATGAAATTTAACATTTTCAGTTTTTGAGTGATATCTTAGTTATTTTCAAAGATTATTCAAACATTTCAAATCGGTTTCTTTACTCGCAAAAATGGGCATTCTAATGGTGGGCCACGAATTTGTAACACCCTGTACAGGCTGTAACCATTGGGGTCTCGGGAATCGTAAGAGATACGAAGCTGATTAAATGGAGGCGAAGTTATGTATTTTAGAAGCGAATGTAAAGGAATTCCAAGTACTTTCCAGAAGAAAACCAAAATTCTCTGATTTCCATTTTATTTTGTTGTTACTCTGTTTGCAGAGATTTTTGAAAATAAATGAATGTTTTGTTTATTTTGTTTTGGTGATTGTAAATTTAAATTCCGTGTTACAAGACTAGATTTAAACATCTGGAAATAATTGCATAGGATTTATAAAAGTTTATCTCCAGTTGTAGATAAGAATTTTTATTATCGTGGCGTAAGCTAATTAGTTTCAAGATAAGAAAACGCAGGTGCAGTTTATCGTTTAACTACGCATTAATTTGTTCAGAAAGTGAAGGCGGAAGTTGCAAAGCAAGGGAAATTGTTTTTAAATATAAGAGACGGGCGTTAATCGTGGCTTGTTTGGTTTGTTGGACGTTTAAATCGCAGCCGTTTATTGTTTTGTGTGTGTGGTAGATTTGCCGTTATTTGAGCGCATTATTGGTTAGTCAGTCTTGTTTAATTGTAAAGTTGTGCAGAAGAGAGCTAGAGAGTGCTGAAAGAATTTTCTGTACGGGGTGATAAAAGGGAACCTTATGTCGAGAGCGGAAGCGTATTTTCCTGTTTACGAAGAAGTTTAGACGGAGTGCAGCTGTGGTTATCGAGCGTTTGTTGCTGAAGAGAAGGTTTTCTTTAAGGTCTTCAAGTTGTTACGTATTTTTCGTTCGTAATTCCTACTCTCGTTTATATTTAAATTTGACGTTTTATTTCATATTATTATGCTATCTAGGTGTTTCGTTTTGAATCCACTACTTTTAGATGTAACTTAATTTTTGTAGTAAATTTGTTACTATCTTAGTAATATGTTTCTTTTACGATGTTCTTTGTTTCGCCGACGGAGGTCGTGCAGTTTTCCTTTAATTTCTTTTGGCGCACGTATTTCTTTGTACAAAGACGAGGTTTGATCATTACTTGTAGAAGAACATACACGCCATTACAGTTACTTGACAATTTTTGTCCGTGTTTTGGGACTTTAGTGCTGCATGAGTTTAGTGAAGTTTTTCTCCTATTTTGCTTTCTACACTTCACTGACGCGTTTGCGGATATAGTTCTACAGTAAGGAACACACGATCGATCATTAAAACAAACGTGTACGCGTGAACATTCATTTAGTCTGTATGGTAATGTTTGACGAATATGTACATGTTTGTCGTAATGACCAATCGTGTATTTCCAGCTTAAGGCCTTTTGGGTATGGTAACCAAAATAACGCTTTTACCTTTTGACTTTGAATAATCATTTTTAGGCTTCTGGTTTACTCTTTTCTTTATTATTACCTATCGGATTGTGCTTTCTATATCCACATACTACATATTCTTGAGTGAAAACCGCCGAATTTTGGATTTTCTGAATATTGCGTGTGCAAGGAAGATTCATTTGGGCGGTTCACCACCATCTTATCAAGTCAAGTACGCCATAGATGAGTTTCTATATTACCGGCTGGGAAAATTGTACTTCATCTATTGACCTACACTATTGTCTTAACGAACCGTTTAGAGAACATTACTTATGTAAATTGCTTCGATATCTCAGATTTTACTTAACATTACCTGGAGAATATACCATTACGTTTGTGTGACTCCGCGAATTCATTTAACTACGTTTCATATCCTTTATATTAATAATTGGTTTACCGATATTATTAGTCTTAGTGGCGTTATTCCAACGGCGTACAAACGGTTTAAAGTTTTTTGTTTACCATATATGCCAAAAAATACTTTTTACTTTTTTTTACTTCCTCTGAATACAAGACAAATATTTACAGTGCCTTCTAATCTTTTCAGTCCTAATTCGATGTTGCATTGATCTCCGTAGATTTCACCAGGTATATGGACATTTTTTATTAAAGTTGTATTGTTTTACGTTTCCGTCCCAAGGTTCATCAGGTGATAAACTGGATGGCCTTCAAAGTGGTCTCGGCTATCCTCCAGGTCAAAAGTATTCGCATGTACCAATATGAATAGTATCAAAGTTCACAAGTCTTGATTGTCGCGTTTAGTTTATTGTGAGTCATCCATATGTCACTGTGCAGTAATTTCGTAATTGTTTAATCCCGCTAGTAGATAACGTAAAATTTTCTAGATTATTGATTTTTATCATTTAAATATCACTTTGCACTTCGTAATTGTTTGATCCTTTGCAATCAAAATTTTGCAATTGTTTATACTTTGCTCTTTTTCAACTTCACACGACGCGAGAATCTATCAGAGTGTTTAAAAAAAAGAACACCCCACGCTGTCAGATTCAGGTTCTGTACTTAACTCCACTAAAAAAATCACCGGCGCTGTCAAGATTTTTACTTGACCCTGCGAGAGCAACAATTTCCCCATGTCTTCACGTTTCAGGACTGACACTCCTTTTGACATGAATCTTTTTCCACCAATAAGAAAACATGAATTTATTGACAGCTATACTTTTAAGTTCACGTTGACTAATTTTCCACCCTCTTAATTATAACGCAAAAGCCAGCGAAAGAGCGATTGTGGCGGAAAAAAATTTTTCATGCAACCTTAGACAATCCCGCCACATCTCACGCCTTAACCTTTTAACGCCCATTTAAAAAGGTAGGACCGGACTCAAGACCACTCGCGCAATGTACGTCAAATACTTTAAGAACGCGCTATCGTGAACCTCCCCCAGATTCTATTTTAAAGACGCGCAATTTTGTCCACTTTTTTCTTATCACGTAAACAAGAATGTTATCAATTAATGTCTTATCCAAACCGATTAACTTTTAACACACCTTTATTTTATACAAACGTAATGCCCACCAATTAATCTCTAAATATAAAGAAGTTTTACACAGAGAAACACCTGCAAATTTTATCTAATTAAATAACAGTAGTAATTTTGCATATCTTATCTGTCCTACACACATAATAAAACGAACCATCTGTAGCTTGAACAGCCTTTTACGTAAACTAAAATTATGCGTTTTATCATAGCATATTACCATCCTACATTTTAAGAATTTTGATGAATACGGTGGAATCTTGTATAAATTTGGAAAACCTCACATCTTAAAAGGTAAATGCATGTAGGTATGTCAAAACTTTTCAAATAATGTTTGCAAATTTACATCAGCACGACTTGTTTTTGTATGTGAGGTTGTTGTATATTCATATCTGAACCATTTTTCCCTATTCAGGATATTTACTAGAACCAATGCTTTTGAGATAGTACAAGGTTTCGTTTTTAACAAGAAGCGCTTCGCATTTCAAACACATGATTGTAAACTGATCTATGGCTCTTGTTTTAGGTAAAAACTTGTACTGTTGCGAAACTGCGAGAAATAGCTTCATTAACATCCTCAACACAGTTGGAGGATCAAATGAAAAAATACGAGGCCAAGAACTACTTTCAAAGTTAATTGTTCTTCCGGATAACGCGACTGCCAGCGACACCGAAGGAACAAATGCAAACCTCATCTGTTTTAGTAGCGTTCAATTTTCCTCAAACAAGGTTCTAAACGTCGGCGGTAAAATCAGAGAAAGATCTTTGATTATATTTAAGTTTGGCGACCGTATTCAGGCTGTAACTGTAACGTCAAATGATGGGTTTGTCCGAGCAGCAAAACAACAGGTAAGTTATTGGAATTTTTTGAGCAGTATTAATCACTATTTTTTTAGGGTATTTATTTTGTTGTGTTTGTTCATGAATCAAGGGCACTTACTGAACAAAAGGAATCAAAAGCTATTAAACTATAAAATAGAAACATTAGTAGGTAATGTAATTAAGTAATTTTTTTATACTTATATAACCAAGTTTATAAAATGTAAAACAGTTATAATGCATTATATAATTTAAATTTAAACATGTATTTAATACAGATGTATAATGCAGACATCCTCTTTTAGTGCCTCCAATCCCCAAGAAACCTAGATGGCAAATTTTGGCTTTCTATGTCCAGTAGTTTTGTCTGTGCGTTGTCTGTCAGTCACTCCGTCAGTAATGGAAAAGTTTTATACTTATACGTAGAAGATGTAATGCTGACTTGACTTTGCAAACATGGTTTCCTCGCCATACTATGCCTCTTAAGGTGTAACGAAGCTCCTGTTATCAGACTGGTTAGCAAACTACAGTTTCTTCAAGGTTTTCTAAATCCTTTCTGTACCGTCTGCAGGGTCTAGATCCTCATGATCTCTTGGATTGTTTGCCTCGCTTTTTTGTGTACCGGGTGACCCAATAAGACTGTTCCTCGGCCATATCTCGGGAGCCGTTCGTCGTATGACTTAGGAGCAAATAAAATTATTGGGTAAATCGGTTATGAAGAATCGCGGGAAAATATTTTCAAGTTCTAAAAATGGCCACCAGAGGGCATAACTGCCATCTTAAATTTTAAAATTGCATTTTCTTTAAATTTCACATAATAAACTAAACATTCTTTTTTCACATTTTTAAAGAGAACCAGTTTATCAATCATTTTCTTAAAAACAAAAACTCGGTAAATTCGAAAACAAAGATGGCGTAGGGTGTTCAATTGTTTTTGCAATAACCTGCTTTAACTTGTTAACCGTTTGACCGATTGTAACAAATTTGGTATCGTTGAAAAGAGCATTCCTTGGGCAACGAGAATCAACCAAAATATAGTTAATTTAGTTGAATCCTTCTCCGCCAGAGGGCTAGTTTTGACGCTATGATCCAAAATCCTAAAAAAATCAAATGGAATGATGACTTTTTCTTTATGAAAAAGTCGCCAAATAACACCCAAAGATGCCAATGACAACCGTTTTTCAAAATCTCGTACCTAACCTCAAATATTGGGAAAATGAGATTAATTAATTAATTATTACAAATTCTTAAATTGTATCTTACTTGACGTATTTCCGGTATTTGTCGATGGCGCGAAAGATTGTTTTGGAAAAGGACCCTACACTTTTAGGTAGGCATTGGAAAATTAAACAAATGAAACATGATGCATTATAAAATAATAACAGCCGTAATTTGTAAATTATTCTGCTGTGTTTTAATTCAGAAATTGCAGTTTTTTGAATTTGTAATTTTTTCTACACAATTAAAAAAATGACAACCTAACCTTAAAATAATTAAAGGTTGGTGAAATTGTACAATGACTTTAAAAACAACAAGAAATTGATTAAGTTAACAGCAGCGTAAAACCGAGTGTAAAACAAAGAAATTGTTCAATAAATTGACAAATAACTTCATGAAGTAATTGATGAAGAAATTGTTGATGTATAACTAGCTTTACATTTCTGGAACTTGACTATATCGACGTCAGCTTAGCTACAGTTGGCGCATAGAATAAGACCAAAGTTTAAAAATCTTACGGCTAGTGAGCCACAGCTCAACTTCATCAAAAATCTAGAAATTCTTGTTCGTTGAAAATGATAATTATTATTTATTAATTTATAATACTAAAATGATTTGTACACGAAGTACAAGAAGATAAATAGAAAATGAATGAAAACTTGTTTGCAAATTCCCAAAGTTCATCGACGATGGCAGGTTTGTCGCCTCTCAACGTTGAATTGGAATGGGCTGATCATACAAATAGCTCCTGGTCATCTAAAGACTGTGATAGTTTAGCTAATCGCGATACAACTAAAGCAATGTACGATAATCTGTTGTATAACAAAGAAATTCGAGTGGTGCCTCCAACAGTTCTGACGTACAATGATGTTCAACTGCTACCTGATTATCAACTAGAGTCCCTTTCGATTATTGAAACGGAAAATTATATAACATCGCTTTTATCGGCCCAACTAGAATTAGCGAGACATGTTTGTTCCTCTACACCGTTTGCGGTAATTTTGAAGCAAAGACTGATTGTGCTGAAGCGAATTTATCAGGCATTAGTTCTTAAGTATCACGAGAAAGCCAAAGTGAAACCGTCTGTACCGGAGGTCGCAAGTAGTTCCTTATCTGGTCCATCAGAAACTCTTTTTGGTTCTCAAGCTCTTTTGGAGATTGGTGTACAAACCGGATTAAGTTTCCTCTTTGCTTTATTAAAGCAGAACTGGTACTGCAGCAATGCCTTAGGTGTTCCATCTTTGTGCAATTCCGTATTAAAAACGGCCATGGAAATGGTTTGTAAATTGCCTCCTCTTTCACTTTCAAACGATTCACATCTAACTGCGCTGGGTGTTAACAGTTTGCATCAAGTGTGTACGTTTTTAAAAGAAGTAGTTCTGTCACCGGTAGTCGAAAATGCGGACGGTCAATTGTTAGCAGCCGAACTCGTACTTGGCATAGCTCTACAAAGGGGATCCCTTCGATACTTTCTGGAGTGGATCGATATGGCCTTAGATGGTTCATCTAAGGAGGGTAGTACCTGCAAAATTAGTCGTGAAATGTTCGAAACTGTTACTTCCCAAATGGAAAGTGCTCAAATCAATTTGGACAGCGAAGATAATGAAGTAGACCTTTACCAAGCCGCGTATTATTTGATGGATGCAATAGTTGCGATGGCCACGAATTGTCACAGTAATTATTCCATGGATTTAAATAATGGTAGAACGGGAATGGTAAAAAGTACGGAGGTTTATGTTTGGGGCAGTAATTCGTCACATCAATTAGCAGAGGGAACTCAAGAGAAGATTGTTGTGCCTGTTAAATCCAAGGCATTCACCCAAGTTCAACAGGTAATATACTTACTATCTCTTTTATTTATTTATCGTATGGCAGTCGACATTATTATAAAATTTATGTTGTTAGAAGTTGCCGTGTTCAGTTTGTATTCTGTTTAATGCCGATCAAGTTTTACCTGACAATTCAAAACTTGGAGGTGCCGGGGTAATGCAAGGCATCATAGGTTTTTGGTAACCGGTCCACTCCTGAATCCATGAATCTGTGAGTGTTAGTTGACAGCTTGCTTGATTTAAGTCGGTTGTGACTGGCTGCTTCAAGATCAAGATCATATATAAATAGTTTGCTGTTTCCCACAATTTTCTAATACACCAGAAGGTTTTTTCGGCGCATTTGTGGTGGCGGAATGCGTCTTAGTATTGGGAGTCATTGTGTGGGAGTGGATTTTACGATGTGTAAACTATTCAACTTGACTGGTACACAGTATATAAAACAAGTTAAAAAGTTCTTATGCAAACATAAATGAGGAGAGCGTATTTTCCTGTCCTGTCCTGTCCCCGCCAAGTGCCTATGTATTAAATTTCATTTAAATGGTTCAGTAAATAAGGATGTTTCTAAGCGCATATGCAAAACTAAATTTTGCAACTGGTCTTAGATTTGTCTTTATTCCAAATGCCTATGTATAACATTTTATTTAAATACCTTCATAAATAAGAAAGTGGGCATTGCGCATGCGCAAAACAACATTCTGAAATGTCGTTAATTTTACTTATATTCGTAGTGTTTACATATAACGTTTCATTTAAATATCTTCATAAATAAAAAAGTTAGCATCGCACATGCGTTAAACCAAATTTTTGACATTGCGCATGCGCAAAACCAAAAAAATATGGGTATGCACGGAATCCTTGGACCAAGCCCTTTCAAATGAGTCCTATATCGCCAAAATCGGTTCAGTGGTTTAGAAGGAGTGTGACGGACGGACGTCAAAGTGCAGCCAATAGCGATTTTTCACTGAGGAAAATACGCTAAAGATAAGAGGAAAAAGTAGAACATAATTAAGTACCTAGTCCTATTTTTTCAATATTTTTAAAAACAAGTGCAAAAACCGAGGCAAAAACTAATTGAACCATTTTTTGAAATTGCTATGTTACCTACCTTTTGAGATAGATCAAAACGGCTAAGCACAATCGAACTTTCTTGGGAAAGCAAGTCAAGAATCACAAAACCATTTCCCAATACCCTATACATCAGTGGTACTCAACCTTATTTCCATGGCGCTCCTTTTTATAAAACTAAAATTACTCACGCCCCCCCCCCCCATCCCGATTAAAAAATAAAAAGTACTGTTACTACAAACGTATTTATTAAAAAAATTACAGGGTGAGTTTTTTTTTTCATTATGGGGACTCGGAAACCGTAAGAGATACAAAGCCGTTTGGGGCTAATTTATTCAAAATTGTATGGTGATTATTTTTCCCCATTCCAAACAGTATTGTATTCCTACAAATAGCTCAACTTTCTGACGGTGCTAAAAAAGTTGTTATGGCCCCTAAAATATTATGTTTTTCAATCAAGTCGGATATTGCATCCATAACATCAACTGCTTTTGAGATCGTTTTTAGTTGATTCGAAATCTCTTCTTTTATAGCACATGTCATTAGCACCATCATATATCGCACACTGGCAACACTGTGCAACATCAATGCTTTCATCAGCATAAAAAGGCGAATTTACCGAGTTGTTAAATGCGAGGTTAAATACAATTGTACATAAAAATACCAAATATAAATATTTTAAACGTAAATATTTGTCTCAAACACATCAGGGATCACGCGCCTCGCTTAACAAAGCCTTGCGCCCCCCAGATTAAGAAACACTGCTATACATAAAAAAAAGTTTGCTTATTGGGACATAGAATTTAGGACACCCTGCTAGCGTAATTTGTACATACATGTAGGTTTTATTCCTGTTTTATTGTTGGAATATGAGAATAAATTAATTTTTTATAGGAATCGACCGATGCGTCATTTCGGCGTAATTTACAGAACGTTCACGTTTCATCTTTAATTTTTTTCTCAGGAACCATAGCGGGTAGAATGATGGTACTTGCGACTTTACCTAAAGGTCCCACACTCGGTCCCAAAATTAGTTTTTTAAAATTTGAAAAAAAGATCCAACTACAATTGAGAAGTTTCCAGTTTTTTGTATAATTAAAACAAAATAAAAATGCCAAACAATCATAAAAATACCTCCACAAATGAAAAAGTCACAAGAATTTAAAGTTGTTCTTGGAAGAATAATTTCGTTTCAGCGTACAGTGCAGTGCTACAGTACTTGATTAAGGTAGCAGATTCGTCTGCCATTTTGGACCCCACTGACAGTCCAAATCTGTGCACAGAAAACACTGTTTAATGCGAGGTTTAATGTGTAAAATCTATCTAATCTAAAATAGTTTTTCCTTTAAATGGTAAGACAATACCTCGGACAATACATGCAGGATATGCAACGTTTAGCAAGCGTTAATTGTCAGTGGGCTCCAAAATGGCGGGCGAGCTCATGGACTAAGCTTACGGACAAGTCAGCTGTGGTATATATAGTAGCTATAGGCAGTGCAGACCACTTATTAGGTTAAATATTGTATTATCAACATCGTTAATATATATTATTCGAATTAGAAAGAACACCTTTTTTTTATCTATGACAGATTTTATTTATTATATTGAACATAAAAAACCATAGCAACCGAGATAGCAACTCTTCCACAAACTACTATCGTCGCCAATTAATATACAGGCTGATTCAAATTCGAGGGCCACCATGGGGATCTCGGGAACTGTAAGAGATAGATAGGAAGTTTAAATTTGGCAAAGTTGCATATTTTGATGTTTCACAAAATGCAGTTTTGAAACTTAAAAAATTCCGATTACTTTCGGAGATATCCGGAAAACACCGAAATTTTGCAAAATCGTTTTTATTTTTTACTGAAGTTATTTAAAAAGATATTTCGAAACAAATAACGCATTTTTTCCCTCTACAAGATGCTGGATTCAAATTTTAAATCGGACGTTTGGTCTCCGGTTGACCATCATCAACTTTGTTTTTCTTATGGAAGTAATTTTTACTTTTTGGGTAATTTGATAGAGAATTCAAAAGAGAGTCCAAAAATATAAACATCACAATTTTTTTTAATTATTAATATATTTTCTTTTTTGCCTAGAAAACGTTGCGTTTTTATGAATTATATTTATGATTAAAAGATAGTGATGTTTACATTTTTGGAACCAGAAAAAAATTCTCCATCAAATGACACAAAAAGTAAAAATTACTTCCATAAGAATAAACAAAGTTGATGATGGTTGACTGGAGACGAAACGTCAAACTTAAAATTTAAAAGTAGCATCTTGTAGAGGGACAAAAGTGGTCATAATAATGTATCATGCTAAATAAATAAATAAATAAAAAATAATGTATCATTTATTTAGAAATATCCGAGGAAATATCTTTTAAAATAATTTTGTGCTATTTATTGCTGCAAATAAAAAATGTTGTGCTTAATAACTTCAGTAAAAAATAAAAACGATTTTGCAAAGTTTCGGCTTTTTCCGGAAATCTCCGAAAGTAGTAGGAATTTTTTAATTTTCAAAACTGCAAATTTAAACTAACTACCTATCCTTTACAGTTTCCGAAATCCACATGGTGGCCCTCGAATTTGAATCACCCTGTATATTATTCGAATTGGAAAGAACACCTTTTCTTTTATCTATGACAGATTTTATTTATTATCATTATTGAATATGAAAAACCATAGCAACTCTTCCACAAACCACTACTACTATTAATATACATATAGGTAACAATCGTGAAACTTATTCATTCATTTTATGCACTCTTTAGGTCCTTAATAACAAAAGCGTGGAACGGTATTTTTATACAACTCGCATTTTACTGGGAAAGACTATTCGACCCTAGATTCGGTCCTCGGCTCATCTTGGTAAAAAGTAGTTGCGCATCCGTCGAATGTAGAGCAAGGGCATCTTTTTAATTGTCAAAAAAAGTTAGGTTTCATTATTTTCTTGTTGAAAAGATACGAAGATACCAAATTTCATTGAATTCCGAATTTTCGGAAAATTTTGCAAAATGAGAGAAGGCATACACAAAGTTCTACCCAAATCCATTAATTCCATCTTCGTATGTTCCTATTGTTCGTATTAAACAACAAAAGCTAGACTTTGAAGTACGATCTCAGTTTGCAAATTGGAATTAGGCTACGAGTAAGGTCATAACTCATAAGTATATGCAATACTGGGACACCAGAGTGCGATTAACACAAAGTTCAGTATGTAACATAGGGCAATGTTATTTTTATGGACATAAATTACACAGCGTTGTCACAATTCCTTTACCTATTCTATCTAAAAAATACCACTGTGCATTCTCATAGGCATACGTTTAATCAAGGTTTATCCACTGGATTAAAAGCTCCAACTTTCGTGGTGCGGGATCCGTCTTGGTTTATGCCGGAAGCAAGGACGGGTTCATTGTAAAAAAATTCTGCAGATTGGTAATCTGCGACTAGATGAATGGAATCGTTGCGACGGATATTGCGCCCTATCACAGTAGGAAGTTGGAACGCATTGGAAGACGTTAAAAAATGGCTTGTTAGCAAAGATATTTTTTTTAAGATTTCAAAATGTGAATTATATGTGTCGTGATAAAGTTCAAAGATGAATTCAATGGATACGTCGTAGAAAATATTGCACAAAAACCGCAATAAAAATATAAGAATTTTAAGATTATCCCTGTGTCACTGTGATCTGAACCCTATTGAAGTGGTGTGGGAGCAAGTATCCACATAGTTTAATCTAATTCATTAAACTTTACTTAATTTCCGAAGCATATACCTATCAGAGAGTAACAAATGAAAATTGGGCTAATTATGTTCGATATATTGAGAACGTTGAAGAAAAGATGTTGCAAGTTGATCATATCACAGATGATGTGCAACTTCTTATTATAAACATAAACAATGATAGCAGTAGTGAAAGTGACTTATTACTTAATTTATGTAATGTGATGTAAATAAAACAATTTATTTATCTCACGTGATTATCAATCCAAATTAGCTTAATTAAATTAAATTGCGTATGATTGTTTGAGCACCATTGGTAAATTGCTTCTTTCCTTGAAATAGATGTATTGTATTGCCTAATTATCGCATCGGTACTTAATGGCACCTGCCATTGTTACATTAATAGGATTCTCCAACCCAGGTCTTTTGTGGGACAACACATTTTGTAACGCTATAGCTGCCTTCCATAAGCCCAATACTGAACTCTAAGTGTGAATCGCACTATAGAACGTGTATTATGTCATGTGGTGACGGGCAAAGCTGAAGCGGATACATTGTTTAATAGAAGGAGAGCTAGTGGCACATTTTATAAAACAGTTTTATTATTATTATTATTATTTTTTATAAATAAACGTTTAATGAAAATAATAGAAAAGGAACAAATTACATATAAGAACGGGGTTTTAAAACATAATAAATTTCGTCAAAAGAATTACAAAAAAAAAGGTAAAGTTCCTAAAATACATTCGGCATTGCCTTTTTGAATTTCTATACTTATTCGTTGGTAAATAAACTGGGTTGAGCGGATCTCTTCTGTTTTTTGCCTGAGTCTTTTACCAATTGCCGCTGTCATGATTTTGGCTTCATTTCCCCACGGACCCATGGTTTCTACAGCGAATCCATTAAAAATAAATGTAAGTTCTAAGGCAGCGTAAGTATTTTTCTTTCTGCGTTCAGCTAAAGCGGCTGCAGAACCTGCTTTCTTCACTGAGGAGAAGAGATATGAAGGACATAAGGTATCAACACAAGTAAAGTCCCATGCCAGACATCGTCCTTCCATCCAAGGTGTTAAAGTTCTCCCATCAGGTCGTTTTTTATCAATTCCAAAAAGATGAGGAGGTTCTAAGATGACTGAATAACCAGCCTCATGGAATGCTCTTTTCTGACATTCTAAGATGTTTCGATGGCGACTGTACTTTCCTGTATTCTTCTGACAAGATAAACCATGATGCCCAAACTTATCCACATTGGCACCACATTTACAGATATGAGGAGTACAAACTGTAGCGTAAAGCAACACTTATCTGCAAAACAGAATCTTCAAGATATGTGGAGATTATTGATATTGGGATATAAGTTGTATCCGCATAAATGCTTATCTAATAGCCTATCCGAGATGCTGGAAGCAATTTCGAGGATGGCGCGGCGGTGGTGCTCAATATTACTATACAAACGCACTCGTGCAATCGGTTAATGCGCGCAAGATCTTCAATACATATAGGTATATCTATTTGGGAGTAAGAGGAATAGACTGCCGTTAATAAATCTCACTCGAGTATCCTTGAACGGTACAATACTCCCACTTGTGGGTAGTGCTAAAAATCTTGGGCTCATTATGGATTCAGATTTGCGATTTAAGTTGCATATCTCAAAATTAATACAAAAATCATATTTTACTCTGAAATTGTTGTATTCTCATAGGCATTCATTAAACCAACATTTAAAAAATTTGCTTTGCGATACTCTCATTTTATCGAATTTTAATTATTGTGATGTCGTCTACAGTTCAAATTTGGATTCCTGTGAAATAAGACGAATTCAAATCGTTCAAAACTCCTGTCTTAGGTTTATATTTGGCGTCAGAAGAAGGGAAGGAATTTCCCATTACATTAGTAAGGCAGGTTGGTTGAAAATGGAAGATCGAAGGAAGCTGCATTGCTACTGCACTTTTTATAAAATAGTTGTCAATAAATGCCCACAATTTCTCGTTAACAAAATACGGTTCAGAACTGACACTCATAATATTAATATACGAAGAAAGGATTTACTTATTACAATCCCTAAGCATAATCTTCAATTATATAAAAGGTCCTTCTCTTATTTAATAGCTTTTTATCTAAACAAACTAAAAATTAACTTTTCATCTATGTCGCTAGCACAGTTCAAAACCTTAATTAAAAATAAGCTTTATTCTGGTGAAGTATAATACCTACCTATAATTAATGTACATTTGTACCATCTTCCTCAATTGAAATCATTGACTGATAACTTTCTCTCGTTTCCACAATTTAATGGATGTAGGTAGATTTCCACGACTGAAGTATACCTCTCTATGGCGTATTGGGGCTGAGTGGTAGACCAGATGGTTAATATTTTTGACCAATCTGAATCTTAACCCCTTGGGGGAATCTGGAAGGACTAAGAAATTGTAATGATCATGCTCATGTACCTGATGATGTATTCCATGTCAAACTAAATAAACGATTTATTATTATTATTATTATATAACTACGCCTACAGTTTTTAATATAATTAGGTCGTTCTTTTTGAATTTGGTAGCTTATAGCTTTGGAACCTGAGCCAAGAAAAATCATGACGATTAATGTGCGCATGCGCAGGCTGCGGATTATCAACTTTCTTATTTATTAATACAGTTTGTTGAAATTTTAACCACAGATACATCTAGTGAAGGGTAACACATCGAATATAATAAAAATCAGATGTGCGCATGCGCAGACTGCGCAATGTCAACTTAATTATTTATGGACATATTTCTTTTAAAATTTTAACTAAAGATATTTTTAGTAAAAGCAAATGTATCACATATTGTAAACATCAAATGTCTTATTTATCGAGATCTCTTTTTGAAATTTTAATCACAGATGCTTTTGTCAAAGGCAAACATATTTCTTATTGTAAACATTAGATGTGCGCATGCGCAGTGCCAACTTCCTTATTTATGAAGATATGTATTTAATATTTTAACCATAGATGCTTCTATTTTGAAATTTGCCGCAACAGGCGTGATAGTGCACCAATACTAAAACATAAGCTTAAAATTCAAAACAAAGTCAACTTTTGACGTTTAACCTAAATCAATGATTTAACCTTGTTTCCAAATTGAAAATGAAAAACAAAGAAAACAAAAGAGATTAAATCGCCCTATTGCCATTTGTTTCTCTGGAGAATTATAAGTTCTGTACGTAACATGCTCTTGAAAGTATTAACATTTTTGCAGTTGGTTTAATAATTAAAATAATTGTTTAAAATCTTGCATGACAAATATGAAAAACAATTTTCAAATTTGGAGGACTTATTTTTTTTATTTATTTTATTTTATTGCCTTTATTTTATAGTGGGCGGAGTGTTAGCAATTTGCTACTCTTCCCACTCAACCCACTATACAATCACAAACAGCCATGCCTTACCTGGGATTCGAACCCAGGACCCTTGTAGCCAAAGTTAGAGCTTCTAACGTAAGCTCTTCTGAGCACATTAGATGTACTTATGTTCCATGAGTGAGTAATACTCATTATCCTTTAAAGATTTGCTGTGTAAACTATTATGTAACTAGACATTTCTTCAGCAACATTTAGGAGTTCTCGGTACTTACTATATTTTTTACCCCAAGTTTAATTGCTAATTCTTCACTACCATTCGGATAAACTTCACCCAATAGTGGCACGTGTTGTTTCTGGAATTTGGACCACAAATCTTCACACATAAGCGAAATAAAACAAAAATTCAAATTCAGCGCACTTAAAATGGTACACGGTGGTTCTCAAAAATCAACATAGATTTTTCAATGAATCCGTGAATCGAGACCTATTTTTTGAACGAAACAATCTCGATTCGCGTACCTTTTCAAACGAACAGAAAACCTAATTTCCGTCACGTGCTCGGCTTTTCACAGAACGAAATGAAACTTTTACGTCCAAAGAAATTGTGGTAACTGCGCTTCTTGATTATTGCTTGACATACTTCCGTGCACGTTCGTTATGAAGCGGTACATGTGTAAATTTTTTTATGTTGAACAAAATACAAATTCGAAAAAGACATGCCTGCAATTAACTTCTGTGAGGGGGTGGGGTGTTTGAACTTGAACTTGTCACATCGCTTGCTCCGTTTGCATTTTACGTTTTACTTCGAGCACACACCAAGTGCCATGACACATGGTTCAGATCTTTAAATTGAAGATTTACCTTTGCGGACTAAATGGTGGCGATTGGGGTTAAAGTGAAGGCTGTTCCTGAATTTTTCGTAAAATTATGGTACCTGCATGGCGTTGTTAGGTAGAGGGTTGATTATGACAAGAGGGTCCCTACTTTGTGGGTCCAATCGTTGTTTGAGCATCGACAACCGCAACCAATTTGCTATTTTGAGTTTGCAAACGCAAATTTTAGGTAAGTCTTTCGGTGTTGTATCCTCCAGTTCTGGTTTTAGAAAGAAATGACCTTCTGCCATATGATATATTCAGTAGCTGTTTATTCTGTATCTGTGTGCTATTACCGATTATAATTTTTCATTTTAAGGTTGAAGCTGGTCAATTCTGCACATTTATAATCCATCATGACGGAAGCGTAAGCGCATGCGGGAAAGGTAGTTATGGAAGATTAGGACTGGGAGATTCGGCTAATCAAACAGTTCCGAAGCGCGTACTTATTGACAGTGTAGTGAAAAAAATGTCCAGTTCTAAAGGTAGCGATGGGCATACGTTAGCCCTTAACGACGATGGAATGGTATATAGTTGGGGAGACGGAGACTATGGCAAACTTGGACATGGCAGTAGCTCGACATATAAACAACCAAAAATCATTGGCGGCCCCTTTTTGTCAAAGACACTCAAATCTATTCATGCAGGTACTTATTACCTTTGTTTCCTTCCAACTTTTTGTTTACAAACTAGTCACAATTCTTGGTGTATTTTCTAGGAGCTATCGAAATTAGTTTTTTAACTAAAATGTTGTACATAATGGATAATCAAACATAGTTTTACCGTTAAGGCTTTAATGCTTTATATAGGTTATAGGCACAGTGCAGCTGTGACAGTCGACGGTGAGCTCTACACGTGGGGCGAGGGAGATCATGGTAGACTAGGCCATGGTGACAATAACAGTTGCCATAAACCAACACAAGTGAGGGACCTAAGTAATGTTGGCTCAGTAGCCTGTGGGAGTGTTCATACTCTGGTACTTTCTGAAGATGGAAAAACAGTATGGTCCTTTGGATCAGGTGACAGTGGTAGATTAGGACACGGAGAGATCGCGAGACTGTACAGACCAAAAGTTATCGAAGCGCTACAAGGTTTTACAATTACAAAAATATGTGCCGGTGCTCTCTTCTCAATGGCACTTACAAGTTCGGGACAGGTAACATGCTAATTTAACTGGAGTTCCGTTTTTCAAATTTTGCATAGGTTTACACGTGGGGAAGCGGTCCATGTTTGGGAATAGGATCAACAGATACAATTTCGCTTTTGCCTACATTAGTTCAAGATCTGACACCTTATAGAATTGTGGACATTGTTGCCGGAGACGCGCATTGTCTGGCGCTCACAGATAATTGTGAAGTTTTCGCTTGGGGATCCAATGCCATGGGACAATGTGGTCAAGGCCACACCAACAGCCCCATATCGGTACCTTTAGAAGTTCTTGGGCTTGCAAACGTGAACGTTCGACAAATCAGCGCAGGAACTTCGCATTCAATCGTTTGGACATCAGTTCCTATTGAAAGTCGACAGATTGCGCGTCATCGGCCCTTTTGTCTAGATATACACGAACGTACTTTCGAGTTACTTAAAATATTTTTAGAAAAATATACAAAGAATTTTTACGAAAAGGATCCACCTGCGCCTTTTAAAAGTTCTGCCGAACACCATCATTTTGTCCTTTTATGTTTGAAATTGCTCTTCACTCATTTGACTTTGTGCGTTAATGGTGGGTTGAATACTACAATATTAGGACAGCAGGCTAAAGGATTACGATCGCTTTTATTCAAGTAAGTAACTCTCTCTAGTTGCTACTGTTGCACCATTTAATTTAGTTTAATGGACGTGAATACGCCTACAGATATACAGTCTCTAGTCAAAGAAGTGTTAAATGTAGGTGCTTCGTTGCTATTACCTACATTGCGAGAACGAATGGAATTATTACACGAACAGTTGCTTCATGGTAAACACTTATCCACCGGTCAACATATGCTGTTGGGGATTATTCTAAACAGTTTAGAGGAACCTGAGCATATTGCTGCACTGCTCGGTTATAACGATGTACCTGAAAACTTAGACTCGAAAGATTTTCGTATTTTGGAAATGTTAATGACAACACTCTTACAATCGTTCAATAGTCATACGGTAATAGAATTATCTAGCTAGATTAGGGCGCTCTACTTTATCAAATTTTAGGAAGAAAATCTAAGCAGCATAGTATCACATATTGATAGCGGAGCTGAAGGCAATTGGCAGAATATCAGTAATCCAAGAATTGATCACTTGCGAAAGCTATTGTCCGCCTTACAAAATCACATACTCGCTGATTGCGTGGGAGTTCGGTCTAACAATGTAAATAACAGCATGGGTTTATTAAGCAATCACCTTGAATGTCTTCTGCCGCTCGCTTCGGAGATATTCCGCAAAGCCGGGCACATGTTGGAGCAGTGTCCTGCAAGTCTAGATCTCTTGTTTAACGTGTTACTCGATTCCTTGGCCGGCTCGATGTTACTTAAAATTTTGACCTCATCTCTGCTTTTGCCCGGGGCATTCCTGAAACTATTACTGCCACATTTGTTAAATGTATTGCCAAGCTTGGATCGACTGAATAAGTTGTTGCCCATGGAAGTGTTATCAGAAAATTTATCAGGTAAGTTGTAATTTACTTCATATTTTTAATATTTTATGCACGATTTTACTCAAATGTGGATGATATACGCTGACTGAAATTTTACATGTGCTTTTACCTCGGCTTGTACCTTCAATATTCATTTGCAGGACCAATATTTCATGTTATTGTTAAATTTATCTACTACATAGTTCATTTCATAGCCGGTTATCTAGAGATAAATTTAACTGAAACATGCAAGACCCATGTATAAATTATTAGTGAATTGCAAAAATAGCAAAATAGCAGAGTCATTTAAGGTAAAATACACAGTGATAGGTATTATCCTATGGCCACAGTCTTGTACACCTACCCCTAAATCGGCAGTGTTTACAGTTACTACAAGTACTGTGTAATGTATGTGTTACAATTTATATTTTCTCCTTCCTACCTCTGAGAGTTTGAGGCGAAACAATCCTGTAAAGTAAGAGGTTAAACGACATTCATGCGCATTGATAGGAAACATGCAAATTTAGTTGTAAATGAAACAAACACACTGTATAATGAATCACCGCCAGGTACTAAACAAAATTAATTGTATTTTTGTGAACACCCTGTATAATAAAAACTAAGCGAACTGTAATACGTTAATATATTAAGGATTTCCAGGCGACACCGACACCAACTTCATATAAAATTGCAAGTACTTAGGTCAGGCATGTCAAACTCGTTTATCGCCCAGGGTAAATCTAAGGGTTCCACATACAGCTTGTGGGCTACATCATAAAAAAGTTCACATTAAGAAAATTTTGATTTTTTATTATCAACATAAAAAGTAGGTATGCAAAATAATACAATAAATGAAAAAATACATATAATCATAAAATCATGAAAATATACCCTGTGTCCCTCGCTGTGTCCTATTTTTTTTGAGACTGCAGTCGTGTATCTCAACTGTTTTTAAAGATAAGAGACATGCGGTTTTCGCGACTATGTGCCATACTTTTTGGTAAACTTAACAACATAAACAAACAGAACAAACAGAATCAATCCAACTAAGTGTGTTTTTTTCTTATTAGATACGGGGTAAAAACGAAAAGGTTGACTTTTTGAGATGTTATCCTTATCAATCATACTTTTCTACCGATGTACGATAGAAAAAAAGGTAAAAACTACTTATATTAGATATGTTTACGTAAAATCCAGTAGCGTAGTAAAAAAAATTTGAATCACCGTTTCTGAGATTGAACCCAAACTTGATATTTTTTAAATGTAACACCCTGTATTTTAACGTCAATTTTTTGCATTTCTTTTTCGTGATTACATTGATGAATCATCCTATATTTTTTTAAATTATATATCATATTTTTCAAAATGACATGTTTCTACCGCCAGCCATTTTTATTGATTGACATCGGCTGCCGTAGTTACCATGGATCCAATAAACAGAACAAAATCTCCATGAATCCATGGCCTAACTATTTAAAAAAGTAAAAAGTAAGGTTTTTATTAATTTTCATCGATAAGATTTAAAAAAATATATAGGTTGTGATGCATCAGTGTAATCAGGAAAGGGTATGAAAAGCAATTGACATTAAGATATACAAGGTGTTTAAAAAAATACCAACTTTAGATCAAATCTCAGAAAGGGCGGTTCAAAAATGTTTTTACTACGCCGCTGAATTCTACGTAACTATATAAAATAGCCAGTTTTTATCTTTTTTCTATCTTACATTGGTAGTAAGGTATGATAACCTTCCAAAAAGTCAAAATTTTTGTTTTCACCCTGTATCTCAGAAAAAAACGTAGCTAGATTGGTTCTGTTTGGGGTATTATACGTTTCACCAAAAAGTGGCAGAGGGTCGCGAAAACCGCAAGTCTCTGCCTTTAAAAACGCTACAGTCTCAACCAAAATAGGACACACGGTACAATTAAACTAGCAATTGAATTTTATAATTTGCAAACATCGCCGTAGGTTGCAAAACGGCGAGCCGCATGCGGCCCCGCGGGCTGCGTGTTTGACATGCCTGACGTAGGTGGTTAAATTGCTTTTACATAAGTATATAGGTATATGTTACCGGCAAACTGAGAAATCCCGCATTTTGCAAAATCCCTAGGCATTTCCCGAAATAACCAATTCAGCAGGCAAAGTGAGAAATGGGGCTCGAGTTCGCACTTTGCCTCCCTCTCTTTAGGGATTTCGCGAAATACCCATACATGCAGGCAAACTGCAAAGGCTTCGTCATTTCCCACAGATTGCGCGTACAGCGTTGCCATTTGATTGTACGATGATTGCGATTTTATATAAGTTCATACGAATTTCTTCTCGATCGAATATCAATCTGGTTGAAATAAAAATATTGTAATTACACTAACGTATTGGGTGTTTGAATGCAATTACCTCCTTCTCTTACGGCTAACTGGTGCGTGGTAAAAGAAATAGAATTAGTACCTACTAAAGATAATATAATTTTCCACTTAGTATGTTTGCTGGTTTAAAATGGCCAAGAAAAATATGTTAGTACCCAACAATATTTGATTTCAAAAATAAAGCCATGCGTGTAGAATATATCAGATTGGGGAAGGTATACTAACGCGACAGGTTTACGTTTGACACCGCTGTACCCGCAATCTGTGGAAAATGGCAGAGCATTCTCACTTTGCTTGAATGTTTGGGCATTTTGCGAAATCCCTAAAGAACAGCAGGCAAAGTACGAACTGGAGCTCCATTTCTCACTTTGCCTGCGGCATTAGTCATTTCGCAAAATGCCTAGGGATTTTGTAAAATGCCGGATTTCGCAGTTTGCCTGTAACATATACAAACTTATGTAGCGCTTGAGCATAACATTCTCTTCTAGTCCAGGAAATGAAAGTTTTGCCCTGGCAATTTTTTCAAATTAAATCGATTAACTTGAAATTTTGACAGTAGGTAGAGAATAGCCTAAGGATCAAAATTTATATCATGCCAAAGGGCGCTTTCCCCCTGAGGGTGGTTGCCACCCCATTTCAAGGATGGTAATTTTTTATTGTAATGTTTAGACAGAAATAGCGTATTTTCCTCAAAGTGAAAAATCGGTATTGGCTGCATTTTGACGTCCGTCTGTCCGTCACACGTCCTCCTTCTAAACCGCTGAACCGATTTTGGCGATTAAAGTTTGAAAGGGCTTGGTCCAAGGATTCCGTGCATACCGATATTTTTTGGTTTTGCGCATGCGCAGTGTCAAAAATTTGGTTCAACGCATGTGCGATGCTAACTTTTTTATTTATGAAGATATTTAAATGAGATTTTATACATAGCATTTGGCATCAAGACAAATCTAACACCAGTTGCAAAATTTGGTTTTGCGCATGCGCAATGCCAACTTCCTTATTTACTGAAGCATTTAAATGAAATTTAATACATAGACACTTGGAATACAAGCAAATCTAATATCAGTTTTACAATTTGGTTTTGAGCATGCGCAATGGCAACTTTCTTATTTATGAAAGCCAGTTAAACGAAACATCATATGTAGGCACCTTGAATGAAACTAAAACTCATACCGGTTTCAAAATTACTGTTTACGCATGCTGTATGTTTAATTTATGAAGGTATTCAATGAAATTTCTAATGTAGACAATGCGCGATGCTATTTACGAAAGCATTTATAAAAAAGTTCAATATGTAGACACTTTGAATAAAAGTAAAACTAATGCCCATTTCAAAATTTGTATGTATTTGTAATCGCTCCACTATTTTTCATTAAACTGTATAGACTTCGACGATAGGCGGCTCATTTGAAAGAGAATGGGGTAAGGATCTCGGGCCTACCGGTATTTTTTCCTGGTCCTAGCATTAATATTATTAGGAGGAAAATACGATCTCGTCATTTATGTTTGCAGAAGGACTTTTTAAACTTGTTTTAGAAAGTTAATACTTCTCCAGTTATTCGCGACCAAAAGTATGAGTTTTTCATAGAAAAGAAATGTTTTTAATTGGTTATTCGCGAAAAAGCTCGAAAAGTATGCATTTTATTAAAAAAACTGTGGAGAACAAAATCGTAGCTTTTAAAAAACACAAAGAAAATGGTTTTTTAATACTTGCTGTATGACCAACACGAACCGAGATGTGACTTGTTAAAGGTTAGCTCTTATTCGTTAAACGCTAAATTAGAGAGTTTCACAGTCAAATAACGGCAAAACTATGCATTTTTCGAGAAAAACTTGTACAATAGTCTTTAAAGTATTTAAAAAAACCTTTCTTTTTTTTTTTTAAACAAACTAGCATAAAAGTTAAGTGAGTTATGATGAAAATAAGGTAGATCCGTACTTTTTGCAGCAAAAAATCAGCGTAAGCAACCCCCTAATTACCACCCTCATTAAAATTAGTCCTTCCCCTTTTCCAGTTTTCTCTAATTACGTATTATTAATACATTCTAGAAGTGCGACCAGTTTAGAAGACTTAATTTTCAAATAATTAAAGCTAAAAGTGAAAAACGAATTTTACTCACCTTATTAAGCTTTAATATGTAGTTTTATGGGTTTGGCAAAAAGGAGTAGTTTTCACCGCTAAAAAACGAAGAAATTTTCATGCGAATCTATGCATTTTGAAAAAATTGCCAGGTTTTACAATATTTTAAGTTTCGTTTCCTGGACTATTCAATAAGTCAAATAAATCAACGCACTACTTACGACGCTAGTTCAAATATAAGAATAAGAATTTGAATTTGAATATACAACGAGGCTGTCAACAACAAATTGCAACACGATGGAAAGCGGCAAAACTACATCGCGATAGAACAATTGTTCGTAAATATCTTTAAAGGTTATGGTGCCAAATTTGATACATATATGTACTTAGAATAAAAGCAAATGTACAACAAGTACAACAGGTGCAAAATTTGGTTTTGCACATGCTGTAGCCATCCAGGAGCTCGTTTGCTATATTTGTTTAAACGTTTATTATTATGGTTATTATTATTATTAGTATTACTTTAATTTTTATAATGTTCAAATTTTCATCGTTTCTTAATTGGAAATAAATACAACTGCCCTGAAAATTTTATCAAAATTGATCAAAGTACGCTGGGTGTTCAGATACTTATGGAGGGTAGTATAAACTTGACGGCAGCTGCTACCCACTACCCGCGATCCATTGAATGCAATGCCGAACACAACGACCCCGACAGGGACCTCTACAACTTGACTAAGAGGTTCGAGTGGGACGGAGAATATTAAGCGACATACCATCTCGTGATAAAACAAGATTGACCCGGGATTCATGTTTGAAACTTGATATTTACTTTTTTTCTTACATTTTTGAAAAAATATACATAATTGGCCCATGTCACAGGTATGGCGTATCGAAATTTCTATTTCTGACTATAAAAATAACTGGTGGAAAAATTTATAGGGTGTAGCCAATCGCCCAAAATTATTAACAAAAATGACATCTTTGTGCCGGTATGGCGGCTATGCGGGCCCGTCGCAGCGGTATGGCAGGTTGATTTTCGTGAATGACTGATTGACGACTTGATGCTCATAAAAAAATGAGCTTGTAGCAAATCACCCAAAAAAAAATCAAACAATCGACACGTTCAAATGAGTATGGCGCGCTATAAGGCCCACCAGAAAAGTATGGCATTTCGTTTCCGTCATTTGTTTTGTCACCGACTACCAGAAAATCCAAAGAATTTTGTGTAGCAAATTGTCCAAAATCATTAAATTTTCCGACATGTTTAAACAATCGTCAGGCAATAACGGTCCCACTCCCAGAGATTTGGCACCATTTTCGTTTTGAGGAGTACTTAATTAAACCTTTGAATGGTCGCCATACTTGTAGCAAATCACACCACAAAAAGTGTCACCATCTCCCGGTCTATATTTAATATTACACTTTTATAAGCGTCAATATATTTGTAGCGCGTTTTTTAAAAATTGTTTGTATTTTGTCCGCCCGTCATGGCCCACTTCTGTAGTTTTGAACTACTTTTAGGGGAATTGTCCTAAAGTTCTGGATTTTTTGCAATAGGTGGCGTATACTTTCAATTCTGCCAGACAGCCTTCATAGATTATTGTTTTAATCTCCCCTCAGTTATTTCCCGGGATGCTGGTTTTGGATGTGAAATGACCTTTACATGCAGTTTCAAGCGAAATTTTGACAGTTGAAGGGGGACCGGTTTTATCCTTCACGGTATTCTAATGAAAGATCTCAACTTGTCTAACTTTTTCCGTAAATTAGACAACAGGTCTTAAACTTCTAACAACTGCGTCGTCAATTAATCAAATAGGGTAAAATACCCGAATAAAGAGCCATACACACCTTTCCAACCGTCGCGAATCAGCCCGCTTTTTTGTGTTGTCTGCCGTATTAAATTTTAATCAGCACATCGAATCCCTCATAAATGCGTGCTACAAAGTAGTAGGTTTTGTAATTAGGAGTACCTACCATTTTACAAGCATTACCTCAATTATTACCTTACATAACGCGTTTATCAAATCCAAACGCTGCATGTGAACCTAACCTAACATTTCTAAACGAATAATAATGATTTATTATACAATATCATAAAGGGATGTTTTATCGTCGTTCATTGTACAAAACTTTAATTTATAGCAGAAGCCATATAAATCATCATAAAACTTCTGAAAATTCTGAATTCAATGTAGACGTCAAAAAGAGCAAGCTAAAGGTTCTGCCAGTATTGTTTTCTGTTCTGAACTTCATTTTATTTCATGCTCCGCGTCCCATTTTTAATAAGAACGACATGTCATTGGAATTGGAATGAAATAATCATTTGTTTCACTTTATCTACCCTTGCCGTTAAAGTGATCCTTTTATCTACTCTTACTGTTAAAGAGAGGCTTGGCCTACTCTTACAAATTTCTTTAAATGTCAATTTAACATCTTCTATACAATAAATAATATATGTATACATGACAAGACTATATGAAGAAACAACCTTGTTGAGAGAGTATTCCTTTAACTTGCTAATATTTCCGTAGCATTGATTGTACCCAGGATGTTGTGTCCGTTGTTGGTAGCTCAATTGTACTGGCCACTGAGTCTCGCATTGGGAGGGCTGCCCACCCTGGTAACTATCCGGGCCTGTTCTGGGTGGCCCTCTAAAGTTTAAAGATCTGGTTTCCAGGAGCTCTAACTTTCCTGCTGGCCTTTTAGACGCAGAGAGCGTGTAACTTTGCTATGGTTTTAACCCCTGGCTAAAATGTTTCAATGCTGCTTGGATCCGTTCATCAAGCTTCTTCTCGAAAACAGTGTCTCTAACGGGTCTCTCAGCTAAAACATCTAAAAATTGGGCATCAAAGTTCTGTAAGACGAGTTGGCGTCTTGATTCTGACTCGAAATCAAACGCATCGGCGATGAGGTGGCAAGCGTCACTGCTTACTCAGGCTCAAGTTTTGTGCGTCTTTGGCTTTGGAGAAAATCAAAATTTTCCGTTGGAGCAGTACTCCTCAAATCGGAGCGACTTGAAACCTATATCATAATTTTGTGCCTATTTTGTGCTCATTTGATTGGCGCACAAATTGGCACAAAATGAGTACAGCACTAACGACTTAATCATGCAAAGGAAGATCGCCTTCTCTTAAAAGGTAAAGGATCTCTGCACCGTTCTGCTGAACAGGAATGGCAGGAATTTCTGCAGGAACTGGCATTAGGAAAATCTACTATCATGATGACCTCACTCTGGCCTAAAAACAAACGATGTACGTTAGGGTACTGCCTTGCCAACAACTAATTATTGCAGATGTACATAGGTAAATCACGACGTGCATCTCTTAAATCGTAAAACAAGCAAGTGAACTACCTCAGGTAAGTGAAGGTTACGAAAATTGTAAACACATACATTAGGATACATTAGGGCGACACTATGTTTGAAAAATACCTACTTAAGGAACTACTACTTGTCATCATGTTATGATTATAAATTTCTCATCACGAAGTTTAGTAGGACTAAACGATTAGGTAATCCTACAACATCAAGCTTTCGAAATGCTCCTTATAAACAGTAAAAAAAAGCTCAAATCAAAAGATTGTGAGGTCTGTCAGTATATCGTGCTAATATTATTGTAATTTTGCTATTGTTTCCATTATTTTTGTTGTTGTAGGAACGGAAACTCCAACCCTAACACAACTAACAGATCAGTCATGGGTATGGCTAATAGACTTGGAGAGAACATGCTCCCTTCTAATTGGACAGTCATTGGGTACAATGCTAATAGGCGAACCGGCCACTCGAGAAGAGATACAGAGTAGTAATTGGCTAAAAACTTCATTATTTACATCAGGAATTCAAGTTAATTGTAAAGACATAGAGCTTGTCGGTCAAATATCTAGCATGGCGCTGTTATGCTCCCACGAAGAAATGCTTACTACAATTTCTCGTTTTGACGAAGAAACTGAAGCATTATGTAAATTGGCATTTAAACTACCCATACAATATGATGAGGCATGTGCAATACAGGAGGACTACATTGCTGACGATCCTGGATTTTACGAAGCAATGCTGGAGTCTGTTAAAAGTGATTCATGGTCCCCTCCTCCTTTTGATAGTCAATTATTAGAAATAGTATCTCGTTGCTTTCTGATAACCGCTTTAAAACACGTCGGATTAATCCATAAATCCTATCAGCATCCGCAAGTACAAGAAGTTTATCAATTTGTGTTAGAATTTCAACATAAAATAAGTGATGTTCATTATTTAGCGAAATTTAGCGAAGAAAAAAAGTGTGAGGATACGGAGGATGTAAAGGATTCCACTTTGGAAGATGTCGATTTGGACGTCGAAATTGACACTGCCACACAAAATACAAACAACTTTGAACTACAGAAATGTTGCGAGTTTGTGTTGGAAAGATGCCTGTACTTATTAATATTTGTAAAAAGTAAGTTAATTGGTCAATTTTTAAAATCTTTTCAACTTTTTATTTTGTATGCGTTACACTTAAAGTTCAACTTTTGGTATGCTCTAAAAAAAATAAAATTAATCTGGGCTTGTATGTTCTGTCGTGTCAGTACACATTGTGACTGACTTATTCATTATTCAAGGTATGTCAGGTCTCTTAACTCACTGTATTGTTGAAGTTGCAGCTTTGGAGATTACAAGAGGGTGGGTTGTAATACTTTCAGGCAACTGTTTGGAAATTCAGATTGAACTATATTTGATTGTTGTCATATAATTGCATTTGTGATTCAAGCTTAATCTTTATAGAAACCTCAAATGACTGTTCACTTCTGTCTCAAGTCCGCAAAATCCTCTGCACACTAAGTACTATTTAAGATGAAATCTATAAAGAAGTCCCAATATCTACCATGCTCATCCGCAAAGTAGGTTTCCTTATTTTTTTCTTTTAAAGTAAAAGTATCTATCTGGTAAAACTGCGCGTGCGTAACAGATCTATGACGTCACAGTCATATGCCTACTGGACAGATTCCAATTGGTTCCAATAGCATTACAGCAATGGCAGCTCTTATTCTTACTCATGCTGATTGTGAGGTTTGATCAGTGATAAAGTTCTTATGTTCAAAAAATATCCATTCAAAACAAGAGGCATGGAAGTCTAACTGCAGGTGTTGACAATGGTCGTTCACATACTGTTGGGCACAGTAACTGTTCTGCAGGAGTTCGGCTGGGAGTTGTTTGATCATCCACCATACAGTCCTGATTTTGCTCTCATATTTCTTGCACCTTCTGTCCTCCGATCAGCGTTATGAGATATGACAAAGAGCTGAAGATGACTATCGTCCATTCACAGGTGGCAGACATCTACGACACATGGATACAGAAATTCATTCTACGATATAAGTGTTTCAATTGTGGTGTCGAAAAATAGCTGAAACTTTGCTATACCTGTTGCTAATAAAGCTCCCATATATGTTTTCTTAAAAAAAATAGGGAAACTTATTTTCTGAATGCGCCTTGCAGGTAGGAATTTACAAAGAAGATACCCAAAAATGCAGCAGAATGTACAAGCTGGGAACTAACTTTATTTTCTTTGTCTTGTGTGTTAGAAAGCAAAGAAAAGTTTATACTGTGTAATGTAATGTATTAATTAGTTAATATTTTATATTGAATTGGAATTTTCTTTCTGGTTTCAATGTCACTTCCTATTTCGTCGGTATATCAAAGTGACAAGATTCACAGTATTTGATACATAAGAAAAAGAAAGCAGTTTGGTTACAGATTTGCTTGTTATTTTTAGATGTGGATGTAAATTTATCTGACCTGGATATTGATGAAGCCCAGCCTGAGAAGCATTATGTAGATTTTTACGAGTCTAGCCGTAAGACTTTCAAACCCAGTGTCTTAAAAGAGATTATGCATACATTAATTGGATATGTTTGCGGTGAACCCATTGAGAAAGAGATGTTGCTAAATACCACAAGTACAACAGGTTGGGTTAGTGACCCGCAAGTAATCCACAAGGCCATGTCGAGCCAGTTGCAACGAGCAAAGAGTAGACTGAATAGTTTAACGCACATACACAACTTACTCACCAAATCAAGAAATGAACCGTCAAATTCAGTTTTAAGTTGTGTGCATCAACAACTTTTAACTGGCTGCTTTTCGTTGAGCAACTTGCAAGCTGAGGAAGGATGTACGCAACTACACCATTATCTTGAAGGAGTTCAGGTGGCTCCTCAAGAAGTACAAGAGCAAATAAAAGAAATTGTGTACAATATTTACAAATTGCTCATCAATTTGTTACGGGAAGGTGTCGAAAACGAGCACGGAAAACACTTACAGCTTCTCACCATATTCGCTTTGAGCAGTCGCTTTCAGGCGCACGACTTAAATTTAATCATTCAAAACAATTTAATACCAATACTTACCCATTTATGTGGCTTGTACTTAGCACCAAATACCATTATAACAAAAAGTCAAACGCTTAATGTTGCATCATTAAGATTAATGCATATTGTGGCCATGTCTTCTCGGATCCACGCCAAACGTGTCGGAGTGTCGAATGTGGAAAAAATTATAGACACACTATACGAAGAACTTAATTACATAACTATTCATAATTATTCCAACCTATTCCAAGTACTGAAAGCTGTACCTCTAAAGCGATTTGTCACGAATTACAACAGAGCTTTGGGGGGGTTCTTGGTATTCCTACGAACAATCGCCGCAAACGAGATTATCCAAACAGTTCTAAGAAGACGGAAATGGCTAGATATTTTGCTGTCAATTATAGTTAGTAAAGACATTGAAGAAAGTGGTCTACAACTGAAAACCTTGCGACCCCGACTTCTTGCTTTACAATTGCTTCAGACAATTTTACCGAACTGCAAGGAATCCGAGATTAGCGCAGACACTAGTAAATACATTGTGCAAAAATTGTTTTGCTATCTCGCAAGTGTCATTTGGAAGGAACCATTATTGAGGGGTCCTGAGCAACATAAAGCGGGCGATAAGCACATATTGGCAGATTCATATGTTATTGACCATTTCCGTAAGGATGTTGATGATAGTTTGTTACTTCACGATACTGGTTTTGATCTTTTTAAATGCGTCAACTGTTTAGTGGAAGGTAACTTAATCTTGACACATGGATCGGGGGGGCGTGGTTACGGTCTTGGTACTCAAGCGATGAAGTCTGGTTGTTATCAGTGGAAAATTTTGATTGTTAAAGAAAGTAAAGGGAATGAAGGAACGTGTATTGGTGTGTCCAAATATCCAGTTAAAGATCATAATCATCGCACCACCAGCGATATGTGGTTATATCGGGCTTATAGCGGTAGCCTATATCACAGTGGAGAAAAGGATCTGTGTTTACAAAGTTACACACAGGGTGACTACATCACAGTCGTGTTAGATATGGATACAAAAACTTTGAGTTTCGGCAAAAATGGAGAGGAACCGAAAGTTGCTTTCGAGTGCGTTGATGCAACCGAGCTATATCCGTGCGTCATGTTTTATAGCACCAAGCCAGGGGAAAGAGTAAAGATGATTGATATGCAGGTAGGTAGATATAGACGCAGCATTATTTAATTAAAATTCCTTTTTAGCAACTGCAGGTTTACGATACGCACAGAGATTTACTACCTGGCGAGCCCGACTTTACTCCCTTTCCATCTGTGCTGGGAGAAGCAACCATCAGTTTAATTCGTATACTCCATTCATCTTCTGCTTGGGTTAAAGAGGTAATTATGATATAAATTGTGTATTGAGTAATCATGACAATAAAAATGATCTGATACTAGAAGAATAAAAAGGTGAATAAAGTTATTTGATCCCACAAATTGGTTAGCATGTATATCAATTTTCATTGTCTGTGTAAAAAAATTGGCGTGGTAGAATGGTAGGAAGACATTACATGTGATGTATATAATATTGATGCGATGATGCCTATAGGAGATTTTATGGGTATGCTGTGCCGTATAATTTCCAAAACGAATATGTTACTCTCATATTATATGCATTTACGAGGACATTACTTGTTAAAAAGTTTAAATAGAGAGTTTGTCATAATTAACCTCGCAGTTAGGTACCTATTAATATTTAAGTTTAGTGAATGAATTAATGAACTATTAGCATTGTTTATTCATTTATAGTTGTTCCGTTCCAATTAAGTGACTGATAAGTGCTGCCACATCACGTCGAATTTTGGTACTATCTGATTATTCAATTTGTTTGTGTATACTCTAATGTAAAGTAAAGAAATATAACTCCCGCGTCTTATACAAAATTTTTGTCATTTTTATATTCATCATTCAGACCACACAAAGCAATTGTTCCGTTGCAATAGTTTACACTATTATTATTTCCTGAGATGCTGTTTTTGAAAGTAAAATGTGCATAACTTTTACATACGACAACCAATTGGTCACAGATTTTGCACATGCCTTTAATGGTGCCAAGTTAAACTTTAGAAATTGGGGTTACACACATGTTCTACCCTTCATGGTATTCTAATGAAAGGTCTCATCGAAATAAATTTTATCTCTCATTGTATTCTAATTAAAGGTCTCAACGAAAGGCATTAATTTCTACCAACCATAGCCCTCCTCCTCGACCTCTGATCGTGATCGGGTATCGGGGAAGATGCTAATAAAAGGAAACTCTGGAATAAATTGAAACTGTTAAGCCTCTATTCGCATCCACAGTCAGTAATACCAGAGCATCTCAATAATCCTGAGGACATTAATACATTTTTTGTCAATCAAGTACCATGTATAACTCTCGCCAGGAAAGATTGCCGGTCACAGCACACCTTATATCGATCTACAATCTAAGTTTTTCTTAAGATGCGAGCGACTTCCGGAATAGGATTGTGCCAATGTTAAACGAAAAGTCTTTTTGTTCAACATTGACACGATACTATCCCAGAAGTCGCTCACATCTTTAGAAAAACATAGATTGTAGACCGGGATCAAGTGTTCTGTGACCTGCAACCTTTCCTGGCGAGAGGTTTATCAATATCCCATTAAAACAATTTCAATGTTATGATAATTTATCTAAAGGTATTCCGCCACTTCAATTTAGGATAGTTAGCGAAAATATGGTTTCTGATGTTATTCGAAGCATTAAAAGTAACGCTTTAGGGTCTGATGGAATCAATATAGAAATGCTTCGGTTGTGCTGCCCATATAAAATACCCTTCTTGACAAACATACTCAATAGTTATATTTTAGGGGGCATATATCCAGAAGCATGGAAGCATGCAAATTTGCCTATTCCAAAGGTTAAGGAAGCACACTCGTTTAACGATATGCGACCCATCAGTTTACTGCCTGCATGTTCCAAAATACTGGAAAAATTATTTACCAACAAATTTTTGAGCATGTAGAACAGTATAATTTATTACCAGAATGTCAGTCGGGGTTTAGGCCCAATCATAGCTGTACTATCGCATTACTCAACATAACAGATGATATCATATCGTCAACTGATAAAGGTAAACTAACTTTACTTGTTCTGCTAGTTTTCAGTTAGGCATTTGATTCAATCAGCCACAAATTACTTTTTGCTATATTACAATGCTGTGGATTTGCACCTAACTCAGTTGACTTAATATCGTCCTACTTAGATCATAGAACTCAAAAACGTTCTGAGGCCCACATCTTGTGAATAGGAGTTCCGCAAGGATCAATTCAAGGCCCACTATTATTTCAGATTTACACCTCTAAGTTCCCTAACAGCATCCACAACTGCAAAATTCAAATGTATGCTCATGACATTCAGCTCTATTACTCATTCGGTCCCGACGCTGTTCAAGAGAGTCTTAAGCAAGGTTTCAGAAGATCTAAATAATATTTTCGAAATTTCCACTAGTTATGGATTAATACTGAATGCTACTAAATCCGGTGCAATGATATTTGGTAATAAATCAAAATGTGAAATATGGAAACCAATAATAAATCTGAAGTTGAATGACATTTGCATTCCAGTGTTAGATAGAGCTAAAAACTTAGGACTAATAATGGATAATAACATGAGATATAAGGAATATTATATCAAAATGCGTGCAAAAATCTTACATGGGTCTTAAGCTTCTCTATCCCCATAGAACGACCTTGGCGATAAGTCTCTAGTTCTATCCCATTTTAACTTTCGTGATATAGTTTATGATCCACGTCTAGATGTTAATTCAAAAAATAAAATACAAAGGGTACAGAATTAGATTTATTTATGGGTTGCGTAAGACCGATCACATATCCCACAAACTCATTGATTGTCTCTGATTAAATCTGAATAACAGCCGTAAGCTTCATCCTACTACTTTTTACCATAAGTTAATTTTAACCAAAGTACCTCCTTATTTATCTAAAAAAATCACCTACCGCGGCGATGTGTAAAATTTGAACTTTTAAGGTAAAATAACCCTTCCCTCACACAGCACAACCTTTTTTGAGAGATCGTTTTCTTTTAATGTATATATGATTTACAATAGCTTACCCAATCGTTTTAAGGAGTTACCTCTGAAGTTTTTAATTGTAAATATAAAGATTTTTGTTTAATGAACAATGTACATTTGGAAGCTAAACTAGCTTGTCAGTACTAGATGGAATAACATATTCAGATAAATATTACTTTTTACAACGCGTTTTTCAGAAGAACATTTACCTGCGACTTTGATTTTGTTTGTACATATATATTGAAGTCAGATTGAAAAGCAGACGTTGATCTGAATCCGACGTTACGGTTTAAAACTGTAGTAGTTCACATTAAGCATTTATTTTTTTTTTTTCTATTTTTAATAATTTTTTTAAATCAATTTTTTACAATTCTCTTTAATTGCTTTTTTTTAATGGTAACTGTCTCATTTGTTATATGGCTACTGCAGTTATTCAATAAAGGCATATTATTATTATTATTATATTCCTTTACACGTCAAGAACGGATTGTCAGAAGAGGGTACTCACAAAGGGCGATTGAGACGTCTGCAAGAAATATATCCATTGGTGATATCAAAACAAAAGCGAGATCCCCATAGTGGCACTCGAAAAATGGACACTGTGTATATCATATTTCATTAGAGACCCGTCTGTAAATCACACGAGCGCCTCAGGTTTGAGGAACGGGTAATCTGAGTTCAGCCACCACTCCCTGTTCAGGAGAATAACTTTATAACTCTTCGGTTTTAGTGAGACAGCTTGGATCACATCCCTCATGTCCCACATGTACAGCCAAAAGCTCTTCTACATGCTCATAGACATGCAGTGGCCTTTTTGCTTATTCGCTCAATGTGCCCTTTCCAGGTAAGGCTGGAGTCGATGGTGACTTCCAAATATTTAACTGTCCTGTCAAGCCATCAAGATCCGCTCCCGTTCTGTTCATAAATGGAATAACCGCAGTCTTGTGCGGGTTAATGGAGCGGCCATGCCTATTTCACCACCTATCCACCTGTTTAAGAGCCTCCCTGCATGAGCTCTTTCATGGTGTTTGGAAACTTTCCAGTTGCGACGATCATGAGATCGTCCGCGTATCCCTGTGTACACGTTCCGTCTTCGTTCAGATTGGGGAGGAACCCGTCTAGCACCAGACACCGCAGCAGTGGGCCCAACACTCCACCCTACAGACATACATCCTGTAGTAATCGATGCGTTCATCTCCGTCGTCCCGATTGAGGATATAATGACCCTGCTTCCAAGCATGGCGGGGATCAATCTTGTGATCATTGCCAAAGCCTTCAGCAACCTCACTAATTGAATCGAATGTGGTGTTGATAAACGAACTTTCAACGCTCCCAGAGCTACTCCCCAGGTACTTTAAAGCTAGGGAGACTCTAAAGAGGTGCAACAAAGGCCCTTCTGCAAAAAAAAAACGGGAATATCCCGTTCAGTTCTACACTCTTAAATGGGCTGGATGTGTTGACCACCCATGTCAGAAATCCCTCGGTAACCACCTGGGCACCTATTTTCCTTACACCGATCCAGGGAGCTCCTTCTGGTGGGTCCGGAGTTATGTAGTCCCAAGAGCCTGGAATATGGGATTTTTTATTTATTGTTCCTGTCTTGTTATGGGCCCTCAACACGTTTTTGCCCAATTACTGAGTGACCTGCATAATGCTTTTTAGAGGTGCCCCTGTAGAAGGTCTTAAGTGGTTCTATACTACTTTGGTATTTACCTTACGAATTAGGAAAACTGCAGGAGTGTCAAAAATATGGTTTAACACATGTGCGATGCTAACTTTGTTATTTATGAGGATATTTAAATGAAACTATATGTAAACACTACGAATATAAGTAAAATTAACGACTTTTTCAAAATGTTGCTTTGCGCATGCATTTATGAATGCATTGAAATGAAATTTTATACATAAGCATTTGGAATAAAGATAAATGTAACATTAGTTGCAAAATTTGGTTTTGCGCATGCGCAATGCCAACTTTCTTATTTATGAAGGCATTTAAATGAAATTTATATGTCATAGGCATTTGGGATAAAGACAAATCTAAGACCAATTGAAAAATTTGGTTTTGCGCATGCGCAATGGCAACTTTCTTACTTATGAAAGCAGTTAAACGATATATCATACCTATGTAAGCACCTTGAATTAAACTAAAACTAATACCCGTTTCAAAATTACTGTTTACGCATGCTGTATGTTTTATTTATGAAGGTATTCAATGAAATTTGTAATGTAGACAGTGCGCAATGCGATTTACGAAAGCGTTTATAAAAAGTTCCATATGTAGAC